GTTATATAAGTTTCAAATAAAACTATATATTTAGTTAATTTCCATTTGCATTTTTAAATTCAGAAATAGCCACTGATTGAAGAAAGACGTACGCAGAGCTATTGAGAGGAGGAGATGGCATCAAGTGAAAGTTATTTTCATATTTTATTATTTAATTATATTTTTGTTGCAATCCTTTTTATATTTATGTATATTATTATAAATAATTTTGATTAAAAGTTTAAAATTTATTAAAGAAATAAAGATTATATTATTTACTACGCAAAAGAACTTTTCCTTTGTGATAGATTTACAATCAGGACTGACAAATTGCAGCTATGACAGCGTTTCAGTCATCACTGACAATTTTCAGCTATGATGGATTTATGGTCAGCAATGACTCAGAAAAAGTCATGAGAGTGAACAGTATAGATATATAAGGAATCAATTCCGAATACCCATGTGTTAAAGAGAGATGCAAACTCACACACATGCGTTTGACCGGTCAGGTGACTGCCACTGTTCTTTTAGGATTGTTATTTTTACATACTAAGTACAGTTTTTTGTTCAGAGTGATGAGCAAAATATTGTTAAATTGCACAACAAAGGTTTTGAATAATTGACCGAACTGATGTCCAATTTTTACCAATGGTCCATGCTATTTGGGTGTTATTTTACACCTTCATTGTGAAATTTAATAATATTTTGCTTTCACCCTTTTTAATTTTTTAATTTTGTCTCCATTACCATCAAAATCGCAAAATCTCAAAATTAGGGTACCTTAAAATTAAGATACCATAAAAATTAGTTTTTATTTAAATTCGTCGGATGTACGAAACAATAATTAGAACTGAAACTCTTTTGGTGCAACAATAAAAATCCGGTTACATATGGTGTCGCCTGTTTGTGTGGTATGATAAGTATTGATAACAGCGTAGCTTACTGAAAATATTATTTTCTTACTTTGTTTTTTTTTTTGCCTTTGCTTAGGTAGTACAAGGTTCTCCAGCTTGTTGCTTCATAAGCATGGATATAACGGCGGAAATTTTGCAAATAGTAAATACTTCACTTCTGTAAAGTTTTCTTTTTTTTTTTTTTGAAATTTATTGCACTGTGTGTGGAAATATAAATCAATCCATATACAAGTAGGCCTTAATAATAATTGTAATTTTTTGTGTAGGCTTTATATTCAGTTATTTCATAATTGTACGAGGTGTGTTCAAAAAATTAGGGGAATCTCAAATTTCGCGGGTTTAGAGAGTCCAATTGTCTAAATTTTTTTTTATGTTGACATACATCCATATTCACCAGACATGGCTCTGTGTGAGTTTCTCCTATTTCCAAAAATTAAGAGAGCCTTAAATCGTCGTTTTAGAAGATAGATGGCTATTTTGCTGAGTTTTTCCTGGTTCATTTTCATCAAATTTTTATTTCCATCTAAAACTTGAAATACTTCATCATGCAATTTAAAAGAAGAATTTAAAAAAATCGTTGATATCTGGAATGTTGAAACCGTCAAAGTCTTCTCCTCGTATCTTAAGCAATTTAGTACGGTTGTAGGAAAAAAGTTCGAAAAAACGTTTAAAGTAATACTGTGTAAAAAAATTCGTTGGGGTGTCAAAAAACAACCATGTAACAATGTGTCAAATAACATATTACAGGTTATCATCGTTCTTCATTACACTTATATTGTATATAAATAATTGCATAAGAAAAATCCAATGAATAAAAAAAATTCAAAATGTAGGTGTAAAATTTATTACTGATAGATTTTTTGTTTAAGGCTCTGAAACTTAAATTGTGAATCAATATTACTTATATTTAAACTTGAATACGCACCTTGCTGATAACTCCAAATCACAACCATGATCCAACAAAAAATTCGCCGCGAATTCATCAATATCTTTAATGGATCTTATTAATAATGTTAATCCCTGGAAAGCAAAAAATGGCAAAATTATTTAAAACAAATTATTTATGATACCTCTGCATCATATGCATTAATATCTGCAAATGCATTTTCAACTAGAGTTTGAGCAATGGAAAAGTGCTTTGCTGTTAACGCTAATTGTAGCGGCAGTTGGCCTTGATCGGATATAGAGTTACAAATTTCGTCAAGCTGAAATTTTATGAAAAAAAATTTATGTAATTTTCAATCAAAATCGAATTACTAATTTATAACTTAACTTAGTGCTTAGTTATGTCATTTTATAGGTTTTCGATTAATGGTATGTTTCAAAATAGCGAAATCTTTGGTTACTATGTTTCATTAACTCGCCTTTTAAAGCTTACTGAATTTTTGGATGAACAAAACCTTCTAAAGAAAGCGCTGCTTATCTTGGAAAATCCTCCAAGTCACCTACAAGAAAACTGGTTAAATTTACCGATGACGGATTGATTTGCGCAATTTTTAGGCCACCTAATGTAACGCCATTGATTCAACCAATATATAAAAACGCTTTTAGGCTAAAGCTAAAAATAAAGTTTTAAAATTTTTTTGTCATTGAATTAAATCCATACTATTCCCTGCCAGCCAATAGTGGTAAAAAAAACTAGTAAACACTAGGTTTTCAAACCTTCAAAACTGGTATGCACGCTTAGGCGCTGTGACAATCTCACCACTTTCTCCTTACACGTATGTATACATACGTGTGACCATGCATCACTGTTGCACTCATTCAGCAGTGTCATACAAAAAGCTGAACTGCTTCAATTTCCCTAATCGTCAGCTGACAAAGGGTTGCATTTTAGAATTTCTAATTTTAAATATTCTAAAAATTTTGGTAAATGTATAGTTTAGGTCCCCCAACTAAGGAGGCCTCAAAGATGATTTTTTTTTTAAATCGTCTCATTTTTACGAGTAGATTACAAATCCGTGAGCGGAAAGTCATCCATATATGTGTGTATATGTATATTGCCGCTCTAAATTTGTTTTTAGAAATGAAAACACCAAACCACTTAATGAAATTATTGCAGCAACAGTTATCATGAAAATAATCTATTGCCAGACATAAGCAATATGTCGTCACCATTGGCAATATTGTTAACAATTAAGTTATCTAGACAACATTTATTGCTTATTGAAATGCCCTGTATAATAAGAATTCGAATATTACTTGATCGGCAACATTGGGACCATTAATCGATGTTCTTGTCGTATTTCTATCCAAGATGAAGAAACGAGTGCTGAACATATGAGAAGTGTTTTTGTAGGGTGGAATGATGACAGTTTAATTTCTAATTCGGTTTAACTTTATTTAAAATACATAAACATCACAACGGAGATTATACTGTACAACTACGTAAAAGCAAAATGGTATCAATATTTTATTAATAGAGTGAACCAATAGATTTTTTCATAATTGGATTTAAAAACGATATCATTTAATTTCTTTTATTTTAATACAAAAAATTCATTTAAGTAAAAAACATAGTATGTTTGTGGGTACGGATACATCTTTTTGTATAAATATATATTTATCTGCGAAGGAACTAGCATAAAGCACACATTTTCAATTCAAGACCTGCAATACATTAGGATTAAAGACTCTCGACTTATCAATTGTATCAAAAACGACTTATGAATTCAGTAAAAGCAAACATATTCTTATACATACATATGTAATATTTAGTGTCAATTGAATGCACAAATTTGTATCCAAGAAAACAAAATTGGAAAATTCTTTAGGCTATGTACACACTTGCTCATATAATTAAGTCACGCCACTAATGGAATGAAAGTTTATTCAAAGCAACATTTTTAGTACAGAAATGAAACTTAATTTTACAAAAAAATAGAAGAAATATTAATTTAATTGTAAACAGAATACATATTTGTTGTCTAGCTTTAAGCCTAAGAAAATATTGCGTTTATTCGCTTAGCCCATACAAAATGTTGTGCTCATATAATTAAGTCACCTGAAGAAAAGTATAATTATTCGAAGTATACGGCTTTTTTTTAGAAATTCTATTTTACTTAAAGCTAATATTTAGTTGGATATCCTTTATTACGTAGCACTTCAATACATCGCTTCGGCATAGTTCGGACTAAAGTAGCACATTGAGCGGGACTTATTTAGTTCCCTCTGCCTGTATTATTTCCCATAACGAATCCTTGTTGCGAGGTTTTCGTGCAGCTACGGCTCTTTTTATAATCTCCCATAGATTTTCTATGGGGTTAAGGTCCGGACTTTGAGCTGGCCAATCTAGAATTCTGATATTTTGATTACTTATCCAGGTTTTAACGACCCGTAAGCAGTGCTTGGGATCGTTATCTTGTTGAAATATCCAAGCCAACGGTAAATTGTCCACAAAGTCACCGTCTAAATTGTTTTTCAATATGTTCATGTACATTTCGCCGGTCATTTTCCCGTCTATTTTAACAATCGGGCAAACGCCTGAAGACGTGAGGCAACCCCATACCATCACCGATGGCCCACCATGTTTAACAGTTTTTTTAGTGTACTTTGGGTTAAGTTCTTGCAAAGGGGGTCGTCTTACATATGGTTTTCCATCATTGCCGAATACGTTAAACTTGGATTCGTCACTCCACACTACCAAATTCCAGAATTTGGAGTCCTTCCAGAGATGGTATTTGGCAAACGATTTTCGCTTTTCAATATGCGGCCATTTAATGAATTTTCTTGTAATGGATCCGATTTGCTCAGCCTGACCAAGGTCCTATCGTCAGATTTGGTGGTCTTTCTTGGCTTTTTACGCGGCAAATTTTCAAAAGTCTTATTTATTTCATAAAATTTAACAGCGTTATTAATTTTACCACGGGAAAACCCTAAAACGTCTACAACGTTGGCAATATTTTGATATTTTTGAAAACATTCCCATATGACCTTTCTTTCAATTGAAGTTGTGCTTTTATTCTTGCCCATGGCGACGATTACTTAAAATTTTGTTAAAAATAACTTCATTTAGTAAAAAAGAACAATACTGATGTAAACTGTGGCGAAAAATATTAAATTTACCCGTTTTAAACAAAATGACTTAATTATGTGAGCACACTTTGATTGCAAAAAAATGAAAAATTTATCAAAACTCTCCGAAATGGAAATACTTAACTGCGATGTAAATCGCCAACGTTTCTAGAATAACGGAACTTATTGTCCCCGGAATATAAGGGATGTTACATAAAAAACATATTTTTTTTTTTTAATATTTTAAAAAAATACTGAATGACTTAATTATATGAGCACGTGTGTACATCCACAGATGTATATACACTAAGCATCGTAAGTCCACGCTCAGAAAGTAAGTAGTAGCAGTAAGATAGTGTTTAAATATTTAATTAGGGGAAACTTTAGTATACCATCCCACGACTTCAGGTTTAAAAGGGGTATAGCTGGATAGAGGAGATTCTCCAGATCAAGAATGTATATAATTATAGCCGCCTTTTTATAGTTTTCGAGATTTTTGCATTTTAAATTGAAAATTTTATCTTACCATTTCTCGGTTTATAGTTTATTTTTCTTTTATATTATGCACTTATTATACACTTACACTTCACTACAATGTTTTTACATATTTATTATATATTAATTATTTTAATATTTGCTAAAAAATTGCAGAAAGATATAGGACGCGAAAGGGATAACGACCACCCCGGTGTTGGATCCGCCAATGTTTTTTTTCGAATACAAGTCCTAATGGTTTCACATGATGAAGCATATTTCCTATTCGCAGAACATTAGTTTTAACCCCAACAATTTTGCCATTTTATATAAGTTAAAATTAATATTAATTTTAATATTTATTCAATATTTCGCAAACAATACCTAAAATGTGTTCTTTTAAGTTTTCATTTCAAATTTATCAGCCTTTATTTATTTATAACTTAATCTTTATTTATTTATTTGTCAAATATTCACTTTTTTAGATTGGCAGCATCAATGAAATTTCTACTGAAATTAGTTGTAATTCGTGTAGCCTTAAAATAGTTCAGATATTCTTAATTTGATTTGCTTTCACTTCAATTCAATTTAGACCAGTTGTAAATTGTTAGGGGTAAATATAAGGTCTAATAAAAATAGATACATTATTTTTACACTAAATTGAACTGGGCTGGGATGATATTTTAAATCCCCCGAATTCGGAATTAAAATGTGCACACAGAGGGTTAGAAGAGGTTTTGCAAGGGGAACTAGTTTTTGCGATATTTACATTTGAAGGCCAAATTTTCCCCAATTTATAGTATGTAATTTTTCGATTTATAATGAATTTTTTCCTTATATATATTGTTTACTTTAATATCCACTAACACTTCACTGAATACATGTTTAAATCACATTAAGTAGTGCACTTTAAATCATTTAATGTTCTTAAATTCTATTTATTTACAAAGTAACATAAGGGTTGCGTCCATATATATATATAAGGGTAACCATACCTACATATTTTGCAACTTCAGATGGTCCAATTGATGACAGTGAAGGTCCAAATTAAGAGTTTAGTGGTAGAAGAGAATAGCTATTAAACCGAACACATGAAACCGTCCCTGACTGTCAATCCAGTCTTGGCCACCGTTTTCATAAATGAGTTAGCTGCTCTTTTACGGCTTTTAGGATGATGGGACCCGAACCCTATATTACGGTGGGCTCCCATACCATAAATGAGCTGCTCCGCACGGAGAAGTGGGCAGAAAAAGTTATACCTATGTTGAATAGGTGCTTCTTGAGCCTACAGTGCCCAGTGTAAAATTCCACAAGTAGCCGGACTTCGATTATATTTTTAAACCTCGTGATGTTGTAACCATCCATTAGCAAATTTGCCTGTGAGTTGTTGTCAATACGTTTCCCTGTCCATTCTCTCCTCCTTGCGGAGCAGCTCCTTTTTGGTAAGGGGACCAACCGCAACGGAGCGGGCAAGCTCCTCAGTCAAACCATTTCCGGCCTATTTAGCCGGTCTATACACTCCTGCATCGAGATTTATTATCGTAAGCTGAGTGTCGCTCAACTATCGTTGAGTATGGTGATACTTTCATTGCGATAGTTGCGTTAGAGGTTTATCTCTACACACCGATGTATAAAGCCTGCCGGAAATTTGAAATTCTTTTATTAAATTTTGGGAGCTAAAGGATGTATGTTAATTTTTAAATTGTCCATTTGTGAAATCTTGCCTAGCTTTACCTGGACCTCTGATTTCATTTAAGATAACTCACGTGTAAATATGGTAAAAAAAATTAACTTGAGGTTTGAAAACTTTTGTATTAGGTATATGAGTGTTAGCAATTTTCAACACAAGCGCTCATTATTATCACGAAAGTATTGGCTCTGAATGCTAAAGTGTTTTCCTATAAGAGTGGTGATTTCTTTAAAAAAAAAACACTAATTGTTAAGGAAATTCAAATGTTTTTTTATCTATTGTGAAGAACAATCGATACAATTAAATTCTTAATATAGCATCATTCAAATGGCCTCCTCGACTTCTTTTGCAGGAAAGAATTCAATGAACCCAATTTCTGAGTACTTTTTTCACTATATTAAGTCGTGTGCCATGAATAGCACGTTCAATATTGACTTCTAAATCTTGAGAGTCTGGAGTCTCCCCACAAGAAGTAGTGTAATGGTGTTAAATTACAATTTCTTGGAGGCCATTCACTGTCAAAATTTCTAAAAATTATCGAATCTCCAAACGTCTTGGAATCGACAAATTGCGGTCTTCAGCAACACTTGTCTGAACGGCAGCGGTTCTTTATCTTATTGGCACTTAAACATTATGTAAGGAAAATGTACGCTCGAAATTTTCAACAATTCGACGAATATCGAGCACAGGTGGACGATTATTACGACCATAAAATGGCAAAAGCGCATGAAAAGTTGCAATTGGAGAACGTATATTTTGATAATAAAGTTGAATTATTCGTGAACGTTGTTCTTACGTATATCTTTCCATGATGAAATTGTAATCATTACTGAATACTATGAAAAAAATTACAGATCATGACATATTAAAAATGGCCGAAACGACGCTTAGAAATCATATGATCCCTAATGGAAAATCCGATATATCTCTCAGATAGGCTGATATTTTCAGTAATAGGTCAGCCATAGGCACTGCGCGAAACATATTCGGTACATGTGGGCGTGAACAATTGTGGTTCGATTTCGACAAATGACGTGAGATAACATATCTCAAAGCCACTATATGTATAAAGTTTTACTCCAATTCTTAGTTGGTGCTTGATTTATATGTTGTGAAGTTAAAGAATCATACGGTTTTAATATTGTTGATGTATGATTTAATAACTATTAAAAAATATCCCGTTCACGAATGTTCCTCTCTACTACGAGCCCCTGTACCAATTACAGTTTTTATATTAGTTTTGAGCTTAGTTATAGCACATTATAGGTTTTCGGTTAGCCCTCTCATGCCCGAATTACAAGCAGCTAAAAAAATTTGAGAACGGATTTTTATTAGTCATGACGTAAGTATGAACTGATAAAAATGTCGAAGTTCTTGATATATTGGTTCCCTAGATACAGGATGTTGCCTATAGGCAACATGTACAGTTTTTTTATTGAAATTTAAGTGTGAAAAGAAAGAAAACGATTTTTTTACGGATTACATTGGATATGCTGCATTTAGAACGCGGATCACCAGTCTGCATCTGCCTTTTGCTTCCCTTTTTGCCCAGGGCCTAAGATTGTCAAATTGTGTTGATTTTACAGATTCTTCAAAATATGCTTATAACAGGTTGCTTCAGAGGGCGAGAGTAGGAGGGATAGGATTTACTTTGCCTCTCTATATTTGAGATCTCTGCTACACAGCAGCCAACTATTGACTACAGAGGAATTTATACATTGATATTTTACAATTCTAGCATCATATCCGCAAGATCAACTCCTTTTATATGTTTGTTGTAGCATTCAACTCTTGGGATTTTTATCTTCATATAGTTAGAAACCAGTTAAACACTGTTATTGTCATACCATCTTGTTTCGCGCTGTCTCAAATTTAAAATCGTTTGATCCGCTGCCTCGTTTTTATACTCTCGCATCTTGTTGCTACAGAGTATGATAGTTTTGTTCACCTAACGGTTGTTTGTATCACCTAAAACTAATCGAGTTAGATATAGGGTTATATATATATAAATGATCAGGATGAAGAGACGAGTTGAAATCCGGGTGACTGTCGGTCCGTCCGTCCGTGCAAGCTGTAACTTGAGTAAAAATTGAGATATCTTCATGAAACTTGGTACACATGTTTCTTGGTACCGAAAGACGGTTGGTATTGCAGATCGGCGTAATCGGACCACTGCCACGCCCACAAAACGCCATTAATCAAAAACAAATAAATTGCCATAACTAAGCTCCGAAATAAGATACAAGACTGTTATTTGGTACAAAGGTTCACATTAGGGAGGGGCATCTGCAGTTAAAAGGCGTGGCACCGCCCACTTTTAGGTGAAAACCCAATCTTGGGATCTGCTTAACCGATTTCAACCAAATTCGGTGCATAACGTTCTTTTCATATTTCTATGTTATATGGCGAAAATGGGCGAAATCGGACTACAACCACGCCTATTTCCCATATAACACCATTTACAATTCCAGTAAACATTTATTTGCCAAAAAAGGGTAGACTTAAGAATGCTAGTGTGTACATAATATATAACTCTACGTCTATCTCGATTAGTTTTAGTTGTTACAAACAACCGCTAGTTGAATTATATTTTGTCTCAACATGTTGAAGTAAAAAAATAGTTTCCAGATAGTTGAGATTAATAGCCTAGAAGAAATCTTTGCTATCTCCACTGAATGTTAAAAGGCGTATGGATTTTTTGGTATTTTGTGACGAACTAAATTGTGACGAATTGTAACGATGGAAGCAACAGGTTTAGAGAAAACCGAACAAAAAAATATTATGCTTTGTAGTCAAGTTTGAGAAACTTACTGTTAAGGTTAAGGAGTATGCCTCTGCTGAGGAACGATTTTATAAAGACATTAAAAACACTATCAATTTATAAGAATGCTGCAATTATGGACAATTATTATAACTATAAACATTATTTTAATCATATTAACGCATCAATCGACAATGTCAATTCTTAAAAAATATTTCTCAACAAAAAAGTATGAAAGGAAATATTACTTCAAAAATTCATACCAGGTGCACCGGTGATGATATGAGCGTTAAGATATAAATCTGTTGGTAGGGAACATTTGTTGAGAACGAGCTTGGTTGGCATGATATCTGTCAAACATATTCAATAACCCTATAAACATCATATTTTTTCATTGTGTTGAAAAAGTAAAACTTTGTACCGGAAAATTATGATTTGCGGAAAGCATTAATTTTTTGTTTTTAGTTGAAGAAAAGTACTCGCATCGAATGCTTGCCGAGGCATATGGTGATCATGCTCTATCAGAAGCAACATGCAAAAGATGTTTTCAACGATTCAGAGAAAATGATTTTGATGTAAGAACGTTCTTCAATTGGAATTGAAAACAATATTGGATGAAGATGATAATCTGAGCCAAAATCAAATAACAGCCATGTTGCACACGAAATAATTTCAGAATTTTTGAAAGCTATGGGAAAGACCCAAAAGTGTGGAAAATGGGTGCCACAAAAAAAAAACACTGTGAAATTTGGCTTTGAAGACACGAAAGAAAATCAGTTTTGCATCGAATTGTCACTGCTAAATGGAGAAAATCATGGGTTAATCCGGAACAAACAACAATGCCGACTGTAAAGACTGATCGATTCGGTAAGAAGGCAAAGCAATGTGTTTGGTGGGATCAGAAGGGTGTGGTATATCATATGCTTCTAAAACTCATGAAATGAAACTGTTATACTACAGACAACAAATGATCAATTTGCTTTGACCAAAAACGACCAGAATACACGGCAAAGTAATTTTGTTACACGACAATGCATCTGCACACAAAGCAAAGTCGGTTCAGGATATAATCAAAGCTGGCTGGGAGATGCTACCCCACCCGCCGTATTAACCAGATTTGGCACCTTCCGATTACCGTTTGTTTTCATCGATGGAACACGCATTGGCTGAGCAGCACTTCAATTCCTACATGATTAGTGTCTGATTGGTTTTCTTCAAAAGACGAACATTTCTATTGGCATGGTATCCACGAATTGCCAGAAAGGTGGTCAAAATGTGTAAAAAGCAATGGTCCATATTTTGAATAATTTTCTTTAAATTTAACATTCAAAATTTCAATATATACCGATATACCTGGCAAAGTGTTTAAAGAGCAACGATTTTTGGAAGATCAGTTGTGGTAGTTTCCTGATTTTGACATGACTACCGGCTATAATTAGGGCTCACATTAATCTAAAATATACACGAAATGGCGACGAACGACGATACTCTCGTAAAGTACAATTCGGAGTTCGCGGCAGCAGTTTCGCGCAATTATAGATGTCTTATTGTTTTATAGTATTGTCTTTACTACGGTTGATCACACATATAGCAATGTAGTATACCCAAATATTAGTATTTGTTTTATAGCCAACAGATATTTCAAAAAATGGTCAACAATAAATATGTACAAGTAGATGTCTGTAAGGATATTATTATTGCAAATAATTCAAAAACTTCATATTTTCTGCACAAAAAAAAAAGTGGTTACAGTGTAGTTCTCTTAATATTAATTCAAATCTTTTTACAATGTAATAGATCGGGATTTGGTACTTCAACAAAATATTTATACATCTTTTAACTCTAGGATTACTGATGCTGTCAAAAATAGGTTCGTATGAAAAGTATAGCTTTAAGAAAATTATTTACAATTTATTTCTCCACAAGACTGATATGAGAATAGCACCTTTCAATTATTTTTGATTAAACTCTTATATGAACATTACAATAAATCGAACTTAAATGTAACGCATTTCATTCAAATTTTATTTCGCTATGTTGAGCAAAAAACATTTTTAATAAATTTGGGAGATATTTTCTGCATTTCTTCTGGAATGCTGTTTAAAAGTTAAGCCTGTGATGTAGCTAATTTTTTGCTCCACGAATCTCCACAACACAAATACCATACACGACGTTTCAACAATTTTAATCAACTGTTTTCCTTTTTCGTGACGCCACCGTGTTTTACTGTAGTAAATTATATTATTAATTTCCAAACCCGTATAATCTAAGCGACCGACCACTTTCGATGTAAAATAAATCAATAAATATATCTGTAAGCCATTTATATAAAATTGTTTCTTCATGATACCCGGTATTCTTGCGCAAATATCGGAACAAGAGTACACACGAACAATCAGACTTTTTCAATTTTTGTTTTTCTTGTGAATATACTGCACTTAGAGAAAAATGTCTATTACTGTATACACAGCTGCGTTGTTGACTAACCTTTACTTACTATTTTTAAACTCTGTGTTGGAATACGTATTATGTTAATTATATTATCTTAATTTTTGTTTTATTTTAGATTCCATCACAGCGATAAAATGTTTCAAATGCAGCGTTACTGTAGAAAAAAATGAGATAGAAAATATTACAGTTTTGACGCCAATGTGCACCAAATTTGACAGGTCTGAAGATTTTATCATTGATTGCCCATTTTCGACAATGTGTCTAAAGACCATTTCAACACTTCATTTGCAAAACGAAAATCAAAATACTATTATAAGGGGATGCGCGCCGCAAAAAGATACTAAACAGGTGTGTTATACAGTATTCCCCGCTTAATAGACCCCCGGTTAATTGATTTTCCCGCTTATTTTAATCACCTGATCGGTCAAAAATATATTGCATAAAAAATACGTGTAAATTTTCCCGCTTAATTGGTTTTCTCGCAATTGGTTAAAAATATGTGTTATTGAAAAATATACCTTTAATTTCTCGCGGTTAATTGCACAAAAACTTTTTTAAAAAAATTATCTCTGGCGACATGTTTTTCAGGTAGATTTAACAATAGGTATAAAAAAAAAATAACTTACTCCAATTAACATTTTAAAAATGTAAGCTACGATCTTGATATGCATAGTGGAAAGTGAAAGAATCAGATGGTATTGAAAATGGTGTTATGTGGGAAATAGGCGTGGTTGTAGTCCGATTTCGCCCATTTTCGCACTATGTCATAGAAATATGAAAAGAACGTTATGCAATTAATTTTAACGAATTAATTTTAAAGAACGTTATGAAAATAATTAACGTTATGTTAATTTGGTTGAAATCGGTTAAGCAGATCCCAAGATATGGGTTTTCACCTAAAAGTGGGCGGTGCCACGCTCACTGACTAATTTTGAACGCGGTTCCTATAAAGTCATCTTATACCATCCCAGAGATAAAATTTAATGTCTTTGACGTGTCTAGTGCTTGGTTTATCGCGCTTTTAGTATTTTTTAACAGTACCGTTACATGGGGAGTGGGCTTGTCACCCGATTTCACCCATATTCACACCGTCAATAAAAATAAAAACATTTGCTCTCAGTGAATTTGGTTACTATAGCTTTAGCGGTTTAGGAGATATGCACATTAAACTTATTAGCGGCGGGATAAATACTAAAGTGCATGTGCAATTATGCGGGGTCCCTGTAATTGAATGAATTGTTTAATAAAACGAGTATCGGATAATTGATTTCCCGGTTAATGGAACCTTTAATTGTGCAATTTTTAAAAAGCAATTATCCGGGGGATATTGTACTCAATTATATACTCTTTTTAGAAAGCCTATTTTTATCAAATAAGACATCAGATCATATACACATTTATGTAACAAGATGGATTCTGGAATATTATGTTTCTTATTTCTTAATATTTCGTTTAAACTCATAAGTTTCAGAGGACCTAAGCCCACTGCAGTTACAGCCTGCAATTTATATATTTTATGAAATTTCACTAAAATTAGGTAAATTATTAAAACAATGTTTGATATATATCCAACTACTTGCAAGCAACAACTTTCCTACAGTGTATGTAAACGCTATAATATTTTAAACCATGAATCAGATAGTGTACTGTTGTGTTCTGTACGCTCAAACGTAAAATGTCCGTATTGTAAATTGCAATTTGAAAGTATTTTGAATAATCTATACCAATATAATATAGACGATTTATTTTTAGTATCTGCATTTTATTTAATAACAACGATTGAGAAAAGGTGATTTCTTATAATTTATTTAAAATTTCGTAAATAATTTAATAGTTATAAACGAAATTTTATGCGAAAAAATTAAAATAATATTTTACAGGTCTTTAAGAATCGTCGATGGCACCAAGAATTTTCTGTGCAAGAAGTATACGATGAAGGCTGTATAGAATTTAAGGAAAATCACCTGTCAGCATCCAGTAAAATACACTGCTATTGTCGGGGTAATTTATGCAACTCAGGACCCGGAAAAATCTTTGCTGATCAAGTACTCGCTACAAGCCTAGTTGTCTGCTATTTATTCAGTCTACTCTAGTAAATATTGTGATTTACGTATTATATATATCTTCCAGAATTAAACTTGCAAATTTTTAAAATTACAATTAAAACATATATAAATGCAATTATTTTTATATTTAATAACCATATAAGAAAGTGATGTTATATATTCATTAGGTCAGAGTTGTTTTTTGGATTAAGGCATTGGAATAGTGTATTCATTATTTTGATTATATACTTAATAAAAATTGTGGACAAACTAACAAAAAAACAAGAAATTGTTATTTTTAATTAAAAGTTCGTTTTATACAATAATGTAGACCGAGGCACAGGGTGATGTTTGAGCAAGCAAATAAATTTAACAATATTGCAGCCCCTAATCAATGCAAATATTTTACTCGCTTAACGTTTGAGAAGTGGAAATCTAGAAATAAGTTTCTGTTTTAAAATACATTTAAATAAATATTAGAATATGTACTTAAAGCACAATTACAACGATATTAATTAATTATAAACTAAAATAAACAGCAATATCGCTTAACTTTCTTGCTAATGCCGATTTTGTCAGTTTAGCGCTCATAAATGTCATAATTTGAATTGACTTTTTCATATGGTGCAACATTTTTAAGTCGAGTATGATGTTTTGTAATTTTGTCGCAGTGATTGAGACTCGAACATTCCCACAATCAAGGGTGCTGTAGAATCTCATAGTTGTCGGGATCAGAATTGAAACCGTAAAAAAAATGTAGTACTTGTCATGAATTCAGATATTATTGGTTTGACGTTCGAAATATAAATTGTATCGGTTTTGTTATCAGAAAAAAGCAAGAGGATAGTCGCTACCAGATTTGAAATGTAAGTTAAGAAATTAATATATATTATTGTTACGATTTAATTTATCGTTATTATGTTATAATTATTGAGTTTATGGAAAAAAGACAGATATTTTAAAACGATTTACAAAACATAAGCGTAATTTAACACACAAATGCGTCTTTATTCAGTGGATAATGTGATATAAATTTGTGAAGTAAGCATATATACAAACATACCTACAAGTAAATGCAAGCCAATTTTCACATGAAATTCCCCTGGTGCGTCAAGTGGATTGGATTACTGTGATCTTTTAATATCTTCCTTTTCATTTTTGCATTGCTTTTTTCTTCCAATAAAATAAAAGCTTAAATAGCGGAACTCATTGTACACTTTAGTAAATTTTATTCAGTATTTTCAATTTATCAAACGCTTTCAAATTTATTCAGAAGCTGATTCAAATATTGGTTTTGGATATGTTCGAAAAGATGAAAATCCAATCATATTCTGTGACACCACTGAAAATCAGAACTGGTTTGCAATTCTAGCAACTACGCAAATCTGTCTTTGATTCCACAACACTCCTGAAAATGTCTGATTTGGAAAACGTCAATTTCAATGTATTTGAGCGAAGTATAACGTTCTGTAATCCATCCAGAATTTTTTTGACATTTCAATCATGTTTTGAAAAGCATTTACCATAGCATATCAGTTGATGTTTTTTCGACATTTACATATCCAACGATAGCGAAGTCAGATTGATAACTTTTCTTATTAATTGTTTTAATAATTTGTCTTTTCTGTAATGCACTAAATACTGACAACACTGTGCAGTTTGCACTGCCGATTTTATGCTGGCTTATGCCTTTGCTTGAAACTGCTAAAAAAAAACTGCTCCTTTTTTAAAAATATAAATGTGCGGGATAGCAAAATGATCGACATCTATTAGAAAGTTACGAAAAGAAAATTAACCGTTTAAAAAATAAAGAAGAAAGTTATTAATTACGAACAGTTTTTAATATTAAAATTATATTTAACATTAATAACTTACAATACAATAACATTTTAGCTAGCGCAGTTGTTTTTGGTGAACTTTTTTTTTGCAATTATTTTTCAAATGTCGCAAGGTTGCGACTACGACAGTGATGCTTTTTCGAACTGATTGCATCATGCATACTGCGCAGATTGCATTAGCGAAAACGCCCACTGTCTCGATACTTTCCCGTAGTACGTTTTCGAAGTGAGCCTATATTACAAGGAATACTAAAACAAAGATAACGTAAAAGAGAACTGCGAATACATAACCAACAATTAGGTTCGAAAATGCCTGCCGTCGATATAAAACATAATACGTGGCCATATAAACGCTCTTCTTTGGCCACATGCGAATCTTACTATTGGATTATATTATTAATAAAATATTTAATTTCGTTATAACTTAAATATGTTAAAACAATTTGGTATTCAAAAAATATAATATTTATGATTTAAAAAAAAAATTTTTTTTCACATTTGAAATTTGCATTTTCTAGATGTGTAATTTAAATTTTTTTAAATTGTAAAAGAAAACTCTTACTCATCCTTAAATTTTTAAAACTATTTAAGCGCTTTGGAACAGTGCCAGCTTGAAAAAGAACTGAAGACACCTCCAGGATAGAAAATCTCCAGACGAGGCTTAACAGGGTAACGTAGAGCAACACGCAGAGATACTGAAAAGTGCTAACACCGCATCCGTCTAGAGAGAGTAGCGGGAATCAGAGGCACCATCTGGTTAACAGAACCCCGACCGAAAGGCGAAAGGGCAGTCTCTCCATATTCAAGGAAAAGCCGCAAAACGAAAGATCGGCCAAATTACGCCTAAGGCGCCACCGTATTTACTCCAATGCTTTAAGAGCACACGGATGGTTGTGCTACTCCTCAACTATCCGGCAGAAAGTTTGGGTTCGGAAGAGCTCACCGATCTCCAGGAGAATATTATGGATGAGATTTATAGATGTGGATGTGGGAACCTATATTTTTTCATGGGGCATACTTAAAATTTACACTCTACAGGAAAAAACATGATTTTTTGAGAAAAAATTGGCTAATTTGTTATTGTAAAATAAAAATTATTTAGAAGTTTGTACCCGGCGTTGCCTCGTACATTATATATAGAAATAGAGTTCAAAAAGGATTGGTCCAGTAATTTTAAAGTTATAAAGGGCACAACATTGAAAACACTTTAATGTTTTGAAATCAGATGTAAAACGTTCATAAGACCGGTATAAAAATACTCATAACTTCGTAAATTTTGCTCCAATCGGCTTGAAATGAAGATACAATATTATTCATTATTTTAAGACAAAAAATAAATCGAAAAATATGTAAAAACAAACATTACATATATAAAGTGCAATTCCTGCTCTGGCTGGCGTCATGATTGGTGTGTTTCGTTCGTCCCAAAACTTACTGATGAAATGAGTTAATTCCGGTAGTGTAGAACAGGGAATTGTATTCCTTGCTGTGTACAATGTGACCCGGCATGACTCTAACTATCACTTTGCATGCCCAACGAACCCCTCTCATCTAACACTCTTCTGCCTATGGTCCGAACCCGTCGAAACAGCACGTTTTCTAGGCCTACCATAAGATGACATTTACATAATCGCTGCAACAGAATAACCCTTGGGCAACTTCGTCTGAGAAGGCGGCTCACTCTGAAAAGGCAGGTGCGAGGAATTTGGTAATACCGCCACCGGCTGGGATAACCGTCGGGAAACGCTCAGGCCTCCCGATGACGAAGGTGAAAAACGCGATGCAGCGTGAACAGTTAAATCTTTCTCGCCTCTTCTCTACAAGAGGTTTGACACTCTTCCCCTCCTCCAAAGAAACGTTGTTGGCAACTTACAAGGCAATCGATCGGTCGGCCATCACTCCGAACGGTTACAGGATGCCTTTGATGTCTCCCGAGGCCCGCATACTTCTTGTCAAGAAACATAATGCACTCCTCTCCAAGCAGTTTCTGATGAGATGTTTTCGCAGGAAACCATCCCTGAAGTCGTCTGCTTGAATTGGAGCCGTCTCTTACGAACATCAAGATGTCTTTCCTTAATTATGTCTTTGACATCGAATAGTACGCGGGCCAGATTTCGGACGTAACAAACTTTAGACACGCACTGACACCATTCATAGTGGAGCTATCAACAGCTTCATCGACTCTATCCCAGTAATTGGCGTATTTGGAGTCAAACTACCACTCATCGCAGACGAAGAGCTCGAGTTCCCCTGAGAATCTGGAGTAACCCTTGCGCAACTTCCTTCTGTAGCAGGTTAAACTCCTACTTATCCAGAATCGACCTCAAACATATCAAATATCTGTCCAGCGTACAATGAGTCCCCGCATGACTCTAATCCCTCTTTGCATGCCTAGCAAACCTCACTCATTTAACACCACTCTCCCTATGGTCCGACCCCGTCAAAACAGCACGTTTCCTGAACTTACCGTAAGCAACTTCGATGACAACCAACCCAAAACTTACCACCCAAGTGAGAACGAGTGAACTGCTTAAACAACAACAATATGTAGCGTGAGCCTGGCGGCTTCTTGAAATAAAGTATTTTTTACCACAGAGGTAACAATTTGTAGTAAAGAACAACTTTTGGATTTATTCATTGAACTGCTAGTGTAATAGTGTAATAAACCATAATGTTCTTTCTGTTATGAGATGTAACGTTAATCTTGGAACAGGCAGCTTGTCGTGGTGCACGGGTTTAAGTCGCACGGCATACTCGGAACCTCACAACTGGTGTGAGTAGCGCTGCTGGGCACCATTCACACGGTTGTGCGACTCCCGTGCGCATTGGATGATTTGCAGCCAGGAGGTTAATTCGGCTGTATTCTAACGGAGCCTTCTCCACACCGGGCCGCGTTGGAAAGTAACAGCTCGCAGCGTTGAGCCAAGGGTCGTAGGACAAAGATGACACAACACAACTAAAACCATAACAATAACAACTAAGTTTACGTTCCTTTGTTGTTTGACAATACAGCGTCCGTTGTCCAAAGGAGTAGTGGGACCGGTGGAGCCGCTGTCAGGTAAACGCAACCCCGTCCGTTAGGTAGCGAAAAAAGCACCACATTCGACCACCCAGACCGCAAAACGCAAGAGGGGACACATAACGCCACAGGAGCTACCAAAAGGCAAAAGGGTAATTATGCACTAACGGCAAAAGGCCAACATTCCGCCCGAATCTCCTCGAGTGGTGGAGGAACAGCGCAGATATGCGGATGCATTAACCCTTATGTGAGTAACCAACTTTACCGACGTCTTTTAGCAACCGATCTGAGTATTATTATTATTTTGTTTATTTTATTTATTAAACTTTTTCGAAAAAATTTTTTTCTTCAAATATTAATAGTCTGTGACAATTTAAAAAAAATAATAATAATAACAACGTAGAATAAAAAAAAATTTTTAAAAATGAACTCACAAATAGCTTTATTTTAAGTTAAAAAACGACGATTTAAGAGCTTAAAATGAAATATTGGATTTTTTTTTTAACGATTAACACAAATATGACGGTGTTCCTCCCCAGATGTGCAGGCAAGCCATACGAGTCTGCTCTCGGGCTCGTCAGAAACCAGAACGAGGGCATTAATACCTGGAAAGGAGGGTTTTCGCCTGAACTATAGAACAAGACTACTGCTGATAGCGGAACTACCGAAACAATTATGGTTGAGGAGAATGCCTTTCATTCCTGCGCCAGTACGGCAAAGCTGCATGGAACCGATCTTTTAGTGGTCTTCAACGTGGAAGTTGTCCAGGAAAACCTGCACCACGTGGCGGCAGCCTCGGGTGTCATCGCGAGCGGTGACTTGGGCTTCAAAAGCATCGCAGACTTCGGTAGAACTTCAACTATCGAAGCTGTAATGACTTGCCTGCTTCTGCACATCGGGTGCAATGCGTACGTGCCCGACAGTAGCACTGGAAGTCATACTTGAACACCATACATAGTAATCAACCAAGCAGCCAAACATACAATGTTTCAAATGATAACAGAAGGGTTTGGCAGAGCAAAGCTAATCTCGTACTAGCAAATGAAGGCCCTAAGTCGTGAAATGCCACTGACTCTTCTACCAAGGGACAGCTTTACCAAAATGGTAAACCTCACTAGGAAGTTTAAAGTACTGATAAATCATAACATAATCAAATGGTACACCGACAAATTCAAAACGTCGCAGGGAATTGGTGCAGAAGTTGCAGGGCCACGTACTAAACTCTCCATCCCCATAAGTCGATGTGTAGAAATAAACGTGCAACGCAACTATCGCAACGAAAGTATCGCCATACTCAGCGATAGTCAAGCGGCACTTAAAGCGATCTCTGTGTATAAAACGGCTGAATAGCCTATCAGGTCGTAACAAAGTGCATCTTATCAGGGTGGCATGAACATAATATTAATATTTATTATAAAATTCATTTACAATTACTTTTTCATCTAAGCACGCCGTCGAATGTTTTTATATTGCGTTTGTGTTGTTTGAACGTGTGACTTTGGCAGTGTTGCCAGAATTTTCATGTAGAGTGTGATGCTTTCTCATCAAAGGCAGCACTGCCGCGCTAATTTCATAACGTCCCACCTCTTATACATGGAACTGGCCTGTTGTGAAAAATGCCAGTTCTGCGACATGAAGCTGGAACATCTCCAGAACACCTGCTGATAGACCGCACAGCAGTCTGCAGTCGCTGAACTACAAGGGACTGCAAAGTAATTTAATTGATTGAAGGTAAATTGCATTAATAAACCCCATATAAAGAATTCTACTCCAGTTCAATTATTTCAGTTTATCATCCAAGCGCGGATTAGATAACCACTACAAAAACGACACAATTAACATAAAAGTAGACCTAACGGTGATTTTCAAAGATAGTGATGAAATGAAATTTCTTGGGGGTAGGGTAGAAAGTGTATTACGAATGGATATATTGAAAATAATTGATTTTGAAGTTTTTGAGTTCTGACTCTTTTGTAGTTATTGTGCGATATATACAAATTAACTATCTGAGCCATCTACAATGTTATTGTTGTTGTAGCGGCAGAACTCTTTTAAGTAGACAGGCCTTGGCCGGATAAAATCCGGGTCCGTTCCGGTTACGTAGACCCAGCTATCGTGAGAACGGGCCATCCGTCTACAATCATCCGCATTGCTTCGAGGTAAAAATTCTAAATTAAAAGAATTAAACAGGGAGTATCTCAGATTGGTTTCATAACGGCATTACATGTATCGCCCCCCTTAACGCTTTCACGAAAGCAAGCGTTTAATATGTGCCGGTTCACATAGGCACTCGTTTGTCGGGAAAACTCGTGCTCGGGCGGCACGGATGCTCCACGCAATTTGGCATTCCTTTCCATTTTGAAATTCTTTTCATGGACATACAAGAAACTGATAATTTGGTAGAAAAGGCAACAGAAAATTATCCTACTCAAGTTGCTGGCCAAGGTATAATAGTCAATTCAGGAGTCTAAACGCATCCATGATCCTGATTTTGGGTATCTTTTAGACTTGTTCCTCAGAGTAATATATTACCAACAATAACTCATTGCTGTATTTATATACATATGCCTATTGTAATTACAGACATATTAAGTTGAACTCCATGAAATGGGCGATTACTCACGATACAAGGGGTTTATAATCCAAAATTTCCATCGGTTCTATAGACATGTTACGAGCCCTTTAATGTACTATTAGTAATTTTTTTTTTTTTTTTGATTTAGCAAGGCATGCTAATATATATATAATAAAATAGCCTTTAAATATTAAAACCTGCCGTTTCCACCACGAATTTATTTAACATAGACCTTACAGTTTATATAATATATTTGCATAAACAAGTAATTTGTTTTCATACTCACTTTGCTATCATTTTCAACTAAGCATAGAAATACGACATCTTCTCGTAATAACCGTACTGCAGCATGTAGTGGATACTTTGTTTTGCTTTTTAGCATCTTATATAACACTGCACCTGACATATGTTCAAAGTCTTGTGAAGCCAAATCATCCCAATGCGTTGAAATTAAACTTGAGCAATATTCCAGTAGAGTTATTGCTCCAACTTCTTCAGCAACACCATAAAATTTTACACATGAACGAATATTAGCAGATACCACTAAAGCACGTTCACATATGCCCATTAATCCCTGCAATTTAAAGCAATGAGCCGCCCGTAATAATCCCAAGGTAATTCGATCGTTATCCAAATCAGCAATATCAGTATATATCCATTGAAGTAGAGCAATTCCGATATCTTCTTCAAAATTACTCCAATCAAGTTCATCTCTTGAAATCAAAAATTCTTGGTTCCATTCGTCAGATCGTGATTGTAATACAAATTTGTGAGCCGGTACACTTACAGCGCCAATTCTTATGCATATGTCAGAATAAATACTTTTCTTATAAAGAGAAGCCACGGTCATAACCAAGCGACATACAAAACCACTAACAATAGTGTCATCTTCAACTTTTAAAGCTACCTCGTTATACTTTCTTTCAAGCTGTACATACGCTCGTTGCAGCTTAGTGTATTCTTCTTTTAAAAGAGCTATGCTCTTCTCCAATTTAATAACAATTCGCCTATCTTCGCAGCCTGAAATAATAAATAAATTTAGTTTTCGATATATTTCATAAACGAACCCGAATTACTCATTTTGTAATCGCAATCAACGCTTATAAATATAAAAATGTTCTTGTTTATATATTCAAATTAGTACTTTAACACAGTAGTGAAGTGATTGCATTCCTAAATACTAGAGCTGGAAAACTATCGATATTATCGCTAACACTATCGATAGTTTCCTACCATCGATTGTACAGTAACCACCTAATTAATGAATTTTCTGTAATATTGTGTATATATCTTCTATTTGTACGCGGATTCATATTGTAAATTTTGAAATGGTGAACAAAATATCATATCATCATCATCAAATATGCTGTGTGATTGACAATTTAAGTTTGTCTCAGCTTTGAAAAGATGGATAATATTGGACGAACATGGATGATAGAACAAAATCGAATCAATGACAAATTGCCAGATGCAACTTGACATCAAAATCGTAGGTGCCAGAATGTTCTAGAGGTGAAGTTCTCTGAAAGGAGTTCAATGCAAAAGGATTATGGCACCCCGGTGTTGAATCGACTAGGGTTAGAGGGACTCCACGCACCTTGCTTTTTGTTTAGTATTAGGGTGCGTTCGAGATGGCAATCACAGCGGTGTTGAAAATTTGTTAAATTATCACGTTCTGCGTGAATTTTTGGCGACACTTTCAACAGCATCACGTTCTACTGTCACTTTTTGAACGCAATTTATGCAAATAATCGGCAACAATAAATTTTTGTCTGCAAGTTTCATATACAAACACTTCCAACCCAATTCCCATATACAAACTTGCCGATAATGGTATAGCCACTCCAAAACCAATAAACAAAAATACTGACGATATAGAGGAACTCATTGCTACAATATATAAAACAATGTAAACAAGAATTTCCATACAACGTAACAAAGTTCTGTAATGTAGCATAAATCAATTAATAAAAAGTATATGTAATTTGAGACCATATTCTGCTACTTGACAATATTATAAATAAATTGAACATAACGAAATTATATTCTGTACCATTTCTTTGAATTGATATAAAATTATGGGATTCAATAACCAAATCATTTAATAAGCATTCTTTGTAAATTTATTTAAAGTTGAGTAAACTATGAACTTTTGTTGTAAGAAATATTATTCAATAAAGTCAGTCTGAATTCTACATTCTTCAGCGATAGTTTGCTGTTAATCAAAATATTCGTCTATTTATTTAAAAAAAAACCGTTTGTCGCGACTCTAAAATATAATTTGCACATCAGCAGAGTATCAGCAAATATACAACGCAGTAGCTGTACTGCTGCAACTATTAAATAGCTCGACCCCTTACTCTGGGTCCGTTCCGTTACGTAGACCCGACTGTTGGTGTTGTTGTAACGGTTATCTCGTCCCCGCTTGGATAATAAGTTATAGTTTGGTTGTCGTCGAGGTCATCTAACGGGAGGCCCAAGAAACGAGCTGTTCCGACGGATTCGGACCATAGGGTAAAGGGTATTAGATGAGTTGGGTTTGTTGGGCATTCAAAAGGTGGTTAGTATCAAGCTGAGACTCATTGCACGCAGGACAAATGTTTGGAATGTCGGGGTCTATTATGGATAATTAGGAGTTTAACCTGCTACAATATCCAGAACGAAGTTGCGCGAGGGACACTCTGGTTTCGCGTGACAACTCGAGCTCTACGTCTGCTATGGGTGGTGGTTTTACTTCTAGTACGCTATTCACTGAGAGGGAGTCGATGAAGGTGTTGATGGCTCCACTGTGAATGTCGGTCAGTGCTTGTCTAAAGTTCGTTGCGCCCGAAGTCCGGTCGGCGTACTGTCTGATGTCGTCGTCGTAATCAAGGAAAGACCTCTTGATGTTCCTAGGAGGCGGTTCCGCGAAAATACCCCATAGCATCGTCGAATTGAATTTCAACTCTGTCGTCATGCCTCCTCGGATTAGACAAGGCCTTGACAGTAGTTCATAGCTTACTCACACCGGTGGAGAGATTGCAGGTCTTCAGGTGATCTATTTATTTTGTCAGCTTATCCATATTTCTTTGCTTTTTCAACGTAACTTCTTTCTTCGCAATAAGCTGTTCGAAAAGACACAGACATTTTCACTTCAGCTACGGTTTTCAACCCAACTGGTTGAAGTTTTATATTCGGTATTATGGTTTTCAACTCAATCCATCAATAAAAAATTCAGTTGAAGTGTTGTCAAACTGCCCCGAAACTGGACGAGACAAGCTGTAAATTGGAATTATTAAAAAAAATTAAGAGACCGTGGAAGGTGCTTTTTTGTAAAATTAAATATTTTTGATTAAAGTTAAATATTTTTGAGTAAAATTAAATATTTGTAACGTTTTGCTCCTTTTAAGTCATTGGTGTTTTTTTCACAGCACACAAATATGGTGTTCATAATATTTAAAAGCAAGTTTTGTAACAACCATAGATATCGTAGGTTGCTTAAGCCCAAAGTTAAAATGCATTCTGGATAACTACCGGCAAGTAGGAAATGGAGAGCTTGTAGTAACGTTCCTTCATTTCATTCAGGGAATAACAAAATGAATCCACGTGAAAACAAAAATAATTTATAAATATGCAATGGTATTCCAATGCCCAACATGTATGTACTTTTAATATAAACCCAAAACTAAGTCTTTCTATGACATTGAAAACAAAATTTATACGATATCCAATATCAGAAATCCGGGGACCGTATAGTTGATTTCGGACGCTAGAATGTCATAGGTATTACTGCTTCATGGATCAAGAAGTTTCAAGAACATTGTGGTTCTTAGAAAGAATAAGTTTAGTATAACGTTGTTTACAACTAATTAATTAAGTAGGTGGAGTAGCAAAATAAAGTTCAACTTTCTCAAAGATTAGAATTAATTTTATATTTCTTCTTCATATTTTTAATGAAAACACCATACTTAGAAATTGTTCGTAATGTATAGTTATAACACCATCCATATCTGTATCATGTTGTCTAAACGCCGATGTAAGGGTCTATAAAGAAAACGTAATAATAAATGGCTCGCCAAAGATTAAACGAATGACTCACATATAAAACTATACAACATTGTATGAAGTCATCAAAAAGTATTGTTCCTTTTCCAAATCGATCAAATTTCCTTATTAGAATATCCACAAGATTGTCAGATAAACGATAACCAAATGAAGACAATGCTGTTTTAAGTTCCTCTTTATCAATATTACCCGAATTGTCTCTATCGAACGACCGGAAACAACTCTGCCAATCTGTAACATATTTCCAGAGAGCACCGAAATCTTGGAAAGAAACTGTTCCCCTATTTTCACGATCAAACATTCCAATCATTAAACGAACAGTTTCTGGATTGAATGGGCTCCATGTACCATTTGAAAGAGCTATCTGCAATTCGTCGGCCGAAATGTGTCCGCTACGGTCCTTGTCAACCCTATAACTTAAAAATATTAAAAATTGTATGTTCAGTAAATAATCGCATACCTTTGAAAAACATCCCACAAAAATTGCTGATCAGGAACAGAAGATTGAAAACTATACGCCATGATTTGCTTGTGTCAATAATCTACTAACATTTACATTAGATATTCAAAAAATATATCGAACTAGAGCGCTGCAATACAATCGGTGGCACTATTAATCATCGTAAAGGGGGAGAAGCTACAGCTGAGAGGTGTCCATGGAGAAACATCAAGTCCGCCTAGGGGTTGAGTTTCTATTAACAGCCACTAAGGCCGACTTTTGACTGGAAAATGGTTCCATATTGCTATTTTCTATTAATTTATGGAAAAGTTGTCCAAAATATATTGGTTGTATGTAAAACTTTAATATTTTTTCAAAGTAAAATCAGTTTATATTAATATATGTTCTCAAAGGAGCGGATATTATTTTCAAATTTCAGAATAATTACCATATATATTTATGCCTTTTTTGAACTGTGGTAAATCAATGAATATTTACCACAGAAAATGTAAGGTGCAATTAAGCAACAATGCCAAATAACGGAATGCAGAAAATGCTTATTCAATGAAACAAGGTTTATAAATTTGCAAAACAATCTTCGTAAAATAACGAATATTTAATAATGCTCCTGATAAAACTGATCACACTAGAACTTTTATCAATAAGCAGGTGTGTATTAGTGCATATAAAGTAATAATAAATAATAACTAAATTTATTTTTTTCCAGAGGAAGCCTGTAAAAATTAATAAACCGAAGGCCGCCAGTGCGGCGCAAAATCTGACTTTTAAATTTCTTTAGTATTTTTTTTCACAAGAAAATGTTTAACTCGCTGAACTGGTAATTACAGCTAAGTGATCTGAATTCTGAAGAATTTTGCCGCTACAACAAGAACAACAACTAAATGACTTGAAAAATATGTGCGTTAAATAATATTGTAAATATATACATAAATTGTTGAAAAAATTAATTTTCCGCTCACGGATATAAAATATTCGCGTCTAAAAAAGATGATTAAAAAAAAAATTCATTTTTGAGGCCTTCTTAGTTGGGGGACCTAAACTATACATTTACCAAATTTGGAAACTGATAAAAAATAAACAAAAATTACGTTGTAAATGATACAAAATTGCTTACATGTAAATTACCATACTCCTACGATCAAACTGCTTTTATCAAAGTAAATGTTTTAGTGTGCATCTAATTGTTTCCAAAGCTAATATGTGGCCAGTATTATAGTGCTCACCACCAACAAAAGTTAGAATCGTGAATTTCTTCATTTGCAACACTTCTATTTGCATTCATTGAAACAATTTAAAAATCTAACCTGATAATATAAGTACTTTAAATAAAAACATGATTTTTTCTGTGCCACATAATATTTGTTTTATTTCGTTAGATTTTATTATTTTTGTACATTATCTTATATCTACTTAAGTATGTATATTGCATTTACCACACCACTATGCGGTATTCAACTAAGCGCGTTACCAATTTTTTTGGTTGTTCGGTTCCCTAGGAGGCCTATTTTCAATTATTATATACACCAATTATATACAATAAATACCAAAAAAAAAACAAAATTTAAAAAAGTCATTTTACAATAATACTTATTTTATGTGCATGTATTGCCAACAGTGGAGATCTAACAAAAACCCTTAGAAAAGTCAAAATGATGTATGGTGGGGTGGGGTAGGAACTATCAATAAAAAATGCGAAATGTGCCTAATAGACAGAATATATGCGCATTTCTATCTTAATAATTATTTGAGCACTTCAAAATGTGAAAATTTCTATTACGTTGTAATCAGGACAACAAATCAAGATTTTTTTCAGTTAGCCACCCGGACAAAGGACTTCAGACAAATTTTACATGTGTTCAACACAATACGTTCTTATTCTAACAGAAAGGCATATAAGAACGTCTGGCTGAGAATTCGCACAGCAATAAAACGGTTCTGTGTCGCATTTTTTCAAATAGCAATTTGGAAAATACTCATCAATGACACCAAGAGTCAAAATTATCGCAAAATACTTCCTCTAATTTTTCGAGGAAGTTTATAAAGTCTGAAGGTGGTTTCACCAGACTGCAGTCATTATATTCTTTTTCCATTGAAAAAAGAAAACGAGAATCAGTTTCACCTTCAAGGCTAGGTATGGGACTCGTACAATTATAAAGTTTTCAAAATTTTGAATACATATAGCCGCAAAAATAAACGAACGAATTTTGCTTCAGGAAAAAGCTCATTTAAACCAATTTCCGCGATTTCAATATTTTGAAGTGCTTCTAAGAGCGGCCTTGACAAACTTTGATAGGTTTGCCAAGAAATATCATTAATCAAAGAGTTTGCAATGACGCTAGTACTTAAGGAGTCCTATTCTTCCCTAGGCAAAGGTTCGCAATTTCCCTTAGTTACATAGTTAATGGTCCTAAGGCCCCAGGACTTTCGGAAACATGTACGGAGTAGTTCTTACGTTATTTCTGCCCCCCTACGAATCTGTCCGAAATAGTGTTCAAGTCTGTCTTGATAAAGATTTCTTGTCGTAATATTTTCGAATCCTTTGGTGGACAAGATCTTCCACAAACCTTTAATATTTTGAAGCCATCCCTTAATAAAAGAAAATGGGTTGTGATATCACGACCTGTGCTATCATTAATTTTTACAGATTATAAGGTGTTCAACGAAGCTTTTACCCAACACGATAATATCGTCGAGGTATACCAAATAGGTCCAGTCTAATCCTTTTAATACTTGGTACATAAGTCTCTCAAAGGTAGCAGGAGCGTTACATAATCTAAAGGGCATTACGGTAAATTGCCATAGACCATCTCCAACGTTGAAAGCCGTTTCTTTGTCTTCTTCGTTTACCTCCACTTGCCAATAACTACTTTTCAAATTAAGTGTTGAGAACCATTTTGTGCCTGATAACGTGTCCAGCATGTCCTTGATTCTAGGTAGTGGATAACAGTATTTCATCGTTACATCAATCAATCTTTTATAGTCCACACAGAATCTCATGTTGCCATCTTTCTTCCTCACAAGTACTACAGGTGAGCTCCACAGACTCTCTGATGGTTCGATTATACCGCTTTCGCTCATTTCACGTATGGTCTGTCTTACAACTTCACGTTTTGCAAAAGGAACGCTTTAAGGAGCCTGTCGGATTAGTCTTGCATCACCTGTATTAAAAAAATGTTTTACAACTTTGGTTCTTCCTGGTTTGGTATCGTCTTTTTCAAATATGGATGAGTATCTGAGAAGAAGTTGTTTAGCCTTATTTTGATGGTTTGCCTCTAGTTCCTCGGTCCATGCATTAAATTCACTCGATATTTCGTTTACGTCCATGGAATCTCGTCCTTAAGACCTATTTCCCAATTTATTACGGCCTCAATCTCTTGACACTTCGCTAATATAGCTCTTTTGGAGAATTTGATTGGTATTTTGCACCCATTAAGTACTCTTACTGGAACACGTTTATCTTGTCTGTCCAAGGCTTTGCCTATAAGTAAGTTTGGTGTAGATTTGATTTGATAAGCTGAACGCAGACTTTGTGGTGCCCATATTTACTTGTTCATACACTGAAATCTCAAAAATGAAAATACGAATATATATAATGAAAATACGAATATATATAATGAAAATACGAATATATATATGTTTTTGCATCTTGAACTTAAGAGAAGAGAAGAAAAACATGTAAAAATTTTTAACTGAATTACCTATTAACATTGAATTTTTACTTCACTTAAAAAAATGTGCCGGATGAACGCAGACTTTATTGGCTATGTGTATGTACTTAAAAACTTTCCGACATACGTAAGTATGTACATATGTACGTAAAGTGCAGTATATATCTACATATATACATATTTGTGTCCATTTCTATTGTGTAAGCATTATCGTAAATGAAAGCCTATACATACAGAGTAAAAGCATAATGTAATTAAAATGCAAGACAATTCGTACATTCCTCAAATGTCTGTGAAATACGTGATTCGATTTTATATCGATTTAACTGTTTATTTTCACTTTATTATACTCTCGCAACCTGTTGCTACAGAGTATAATAGTTTTGTTCACCTAACGGTTGTTTGTATCACCTAACTAATAACTAAAACTAATCGGGTTATATACACATATATGATCTGGATGAAGAGACGAGTTGAAATCCGGGTGACTGTCTGTTCGTCCGTCTGTGCAAGCTGTAACTTGAGTAAACATTTAGTTATCTTTATGAAACTTGGTACACATGTTTCTTAGTACCGTAAGACGGTTGGTATTGCAGATGGGCGTAATCGGACAACTGCCACGCCCACAAAACGCCATTAATCAAAAACAAATAAATTGCCATAACTATGCTCCACAATAAGATACTAGACTGTTATTTGATACGCAGGATTACGTTAGAGACAGGCATCTGCAGTTTAAATTTTTTTTAAAGTGGTATTAGGGGGCGGGACCACGCCAGATATGTGTATATCTCCTAAACCGCTAAAGCTATACTAACTAAATTCACTGGGAACAAATGCTTTTAGCACCCCTATCTGCAGTGTGAAAATGGGAGAAATCGGGTGACAACCCCCCCCACTCCCCATATAACGGTATTGTTAAAAACTACTAAAGGCGCGATAAATCAAGCACTAAACACGCCAGAGACATTAAATTTTATCTCTGGGATGGTATGAGATGACTTTATAGGAACCGCGTTCATAATTAGTCAGTGGGCGTGGCACCGCCCACTTTTAGGTGAAAACCCATATCTTGGGATCTGCTTAACCGATTTCAACTAAATTCGGTATATAACATTCTTATCATATTTCTATGTTATAGTACGAAAAATGGCGAAATTGGATTACAACCACGCTTATTTCCCATATAACACCATTTTAAATTCCATCTGATTCATTCACTTTCCCTATGCAAATCAAGCAAAAATGATTGTATCGGGGTAAAATTTTCCGTGAATAATGCGTTTAAAGTGTGCCATCTTGTGACTAAAAATTGTCTAAGTCGAACTAAGACTATTTAAGCCCCTAAGAACTGAATATTTGGACCCCAGTGTCTATAGTGGCTTTTTACCGAAAATATCGGTCAATGTGTAAGATATATAATTGCAATTCATATAATAATATAAATAAATGAAACTATCGATAATAGTATGTTTTGTGTCAAAAATGGGTTGAATAGGATCAATACTTCCTTTAATATCAAATTTTGGCAACACCTGAAGTAGTTGCGAAAGCATAAAATGTTCGGTTACACCCGAACTTAGAACTTCCTTACTTGTTTTTATATTCTATTAGTAGTGAATAAGGTTGTATACCTAAAATTGTTAAAAGGTTTCTTCAAAAGTTTTCATTTAACTCGACTTCAGTATTACATTTTGATACTTGTGCTAATGTACATTCAAAGTTTCTACCGCACGTTAATTTTAACAAAATGAATTCAGGTTTAGGAATATATTTTACAGTGATATATGTTACATATGTTTCTTCGGCAGAAATTTCAACGGATTTTTCACGAGATACATATTTGAATGCGCTTCAGAGCTCTCATCAATCTAGTTCGGGTACGTTTGTCAAATTACATTGTATGAAACCGTCATATGCCTACTATAAAGATTATCGAATTACCGGGTGACTTTATATCGAATATATCACTCAATGAATTATCTTATTGAAATGAGGTGAGAGTGTCTTTCTAATAACAGTGTATCCATGTGCCTAAAATAGACAAATTCGGGTCTATATTTCACCTGGCCCCCATACACCTAATATAAAAATTTCAAACCTGCAATATGTAAGAAGTCTTCGGAAAATTAAGTAAATGTATAACACTGGATATACTATAGTTTAATCTCGAAAATGTGTGAAATCGGCAATGAATTACTACGAAACTGCGTGGAACATGTTCTCGAGTATAATTGAGTAATGTCAAACGTTAATGCAATCAATCCAGATTTTACCCTAGCCCCAATATTCCCAATATAGACATTTCGGACTTTCCATCTGACTTTAAACCGTTTATGTCGGTCAATATATATGATAGTTTAATGAAATTAGGTGAACAAATTTTCTTAACCATTCAACCCCTTTTTGACATACGAAATAAAGAGTATTGGTTGAGTTAGCCCGAACTTAACTGATACTTTATGAAAACGAAACACTAGTAGGTTTATCTAGTAATCAAATTTTGAGACCCAAGCAATTGCAAAAAAAATTGCAAATTTTAAATTTCAAAAATGAAGGAGTGATATGGGCTTTGAAAAATTGTTGATAGAGGCAAGATAATTGTCAAGAGAAATAAACGTACAGAACAGAAAAGACAGTTCAATTATGAGGGGGAAGATGAGCCGATTCGCGATGTTAAGCAAAATTGTAAAATTAATTTCTATTTTGCCATTATTCATACCGCATTGTCTTCAATCAATGAAAAATACGATCAGTTGAAAGAAGTTGCTAAAACTTTTGGAATTTTATTCAATACTGATCAGTTGCAAACTTTTACATACACTTTGAACATTGTAAACAATTAGAAATGTAATTAACTCACGGTGGATTCACGGATATAGATGCAACAGTATACCACTAGACATTTTAAATTATATTTGTTCAAACGAATTAATAGATATCGTTAGATATTAATTAACGGCAATACAGCTGTTGCTAACAATTCCTGTGTTGATAGCTAGTGGAGAGTGCAGTTTCTCTAAATTGAAACTTATCAAAACCTTTGCTCTACAATGTATCAAGAAAGACTGGAAAGCTTGGCAAGTATTGTATATCAATTGAAAATCAAGTGGCACAAACTCTTGACAGTTGCGTCTGATTTTTCCAAATTAAAGGATCGGAAAGATTTGAAAATATTTAAATGATTTTTATACCCTGAGCAGGGTATATTAAGTTAACCACAAAGTTTGTAACACTCAGAAGGAAACGTCGGAGACCCCATAAAATATATACATAAATTTAGAGTTGATTTAGCTATGCACGTCAGTGTGTATTTATATAAACTAGTCCCTCAGTTTTTAGGCTATCGATCTGAAATTTTGCACCTATCCTTTTCTCACTATGAACCTGCTCATTTGTCGGAACGGCCGATATCGGACCACTATAGCATATAGCTGTCATACAAATTGAACAATCAAGTACTTGTATGGGCAAACTTTTTATTTTACGTAATATCTTCACGAAAGTTTGCATGAGTTATTTTCTAAGACAACAATTTAATCTCCGAAGAAATTCTTAATTGTAAGATTGTAATTGTATAGATCGGAAGACTAAAGCAGATAGCTGCGATATTAACTGAACGATCAGAGTCAAGTGCTTGTATGGAAAACTCTTTCATTTGACGAGGTATGTTCACGAAATGGTGTGGATTATTACTTAAGTCAATAATGCAATATCCGAAAAAATTGTTCAGATCAGATCACTATAGCATATAGTTGCCATACAAATTTAACGATCGAAATAAAGTGCTTGAATGAAAACTTTTTCATTTGACGAGGTATCTTCACGAAATAGGGCCATAATTATTAAAGGCAGTAATGCAATCTCCGAAGAAATTGTATAGATCGGAAGACTATAGCAGACTATAGACTGCTGAACGATAGATAACTGAACGATCGGAATCAAGTGCTTGCACGAAAAACTTTTATATTTGACGTAATATCTTTACGAAATTAGGCACGAGTTATTGTTTAAGGCAACAATGTATTCTCCGCAGAAATTGTTCAGATCAGATCACTATAGCCATACAAATTGAATGATAGGAATCAAGTTTTTGTAAGGAGCCTTTGTATTTGTGAAGGGTATTATAGCTTCGGTACAACCGAAGTTAACGCTTTTTCTTGTTTATTGTCTTTTTAAGTAATTATTCTAAGCCTTTGGAACATTACCTTTTTTTAAATAAATGACCTGAATAATTTTCAGGCGGAGAATTTGGTTTTTTCCCAGGGCGGTAAATTGTCTCGGGCCGGCAGTGGTTAGAATAACGGAAGTTTTTATATGTAGTAATATATAATTTCACATATTTTCGGTATTAAATAAAGAATATCCGATATAATACGTTCAGTTAAATTTGCTAAGATATCTTACATATTGACTGATATATACGGTATAAGGCCAACCGAAAGGTTGAAAATCTTTTATTAGGTATGTATATGGGAGATAGGAGTATTGACCCGATTTTCTCTATTTTTAGCATTACTACATATTATTAACAGAAACAGATGCTCTCTGAGTTCCATTTAGGTACCTCGTATACCATCAACAGTATAATGTTAACCGGATGTTTGAAACATCTTGATAAGCAAGCTTTCTTCTCATTTTATCCACTTAAGGCACAGAGATGCACCGTTAGGGAAAACACGCACTGAGTGAGCGTTTAATTAAGATAACTCACATACTTATTAGCTATTGTTAGTCAGTCGGAAGTTCGAAAATCTTTCTATTAGGGATATGGAGGCTAAGGAAAATATTGACTCGATTCAACCCATTTTTGACATACAGACATACTATTATCAGAAACAGATGCTCCCCTAGCCACCAAAACTGTTCAAGCCCTCAGGTACCGAATATAAGAAAACCAGTTCCTACGGCGAACTATTTTTCGAAAATATAGGTCAGTCTGTTAGATATATTATAGAAACTCAGAGAGAATATTTAACTAATAATAATATGTGCCAAAAATGTAATTGCATAAAATGAATAAAATCGGATGAAAACTTGTCATAGCCCCCATATAACTAATATCAGGATTTTAAAACATGCGGTTGACACTATCCCGTCTGTATTGGTAACTGTATGTGATGTATGTTAATGATCATTTTTTTTGTTTTTAATATGTGATAATGGCCAAAATATATAAAAGCGGTTCAATACTATCCCTATCTCTCATATAGTAATATGAGATTTTACAACTTGCAGTTGGCTTTATATCGTACTTTTATTATTCTAACAAACGATGTCTTAATTGTAAAATTGCTTTAAAATATATTCTAGAATATACCTGAGCAATGTCAATATACTCTATATAATGCCTTTCGACTTCTCACATGTCTTTCAACCGTTTAGGTAGGTCAAAATGTTTGATATTTTAATAAAACTTCCACTTAACAAGCTTTTTGAAAAATTATGTGGCCTACCGCTGAATATGAATGAAATTAGTTTAGATCATGGTCCAAACCTCATCTTAATAATATCAATTCCGATCCCCTGGTTGATGTTTTGCACATCAAATCAATATATTAAATTAATTTTTTTCGGTTAAGTTTATGGCAGTTATATCTTATATGAGGATGATTTTATTATAATTTGCGCTGACGGAAAGTAAAATATGATTTTAAAATTAATTTAATCTATGACCAATTATATAAGTTAATAAAATACAAATTCGATTGTAAACCATTCACTTTTGTCGAACAATGAATGATAAATTCGTTCACAACATTTTTTTAAATAAAATTTTGCCAACACCTGTAGGTATTTCTCCGAATTTTATCCTTGCAAGTTGCAATAGTATGAAATCTTCCATTACACCCGAACTTAGCCCTTCCTTACTTGTGTAACAATAATTTCTTCAATTGAAAGCATTCGTAAATACCATAAATAATACATTGAATATTTATATATTTAAACTAGTAGACCCACTACTGCAGGCGGCTAGCCCTGAGCAATTGATTTGATATTTTCCGTATACTATAGTAAAGATAATAAGCAAAAGAGGAGCGCGTCGTCTGTAATAGTTAACCGATAGTCATAAATAATGTATATTTTGATATACGGTTGCCTAGCGACTACTAGTAGTAATAGCCTTACACAATAAGGGTGCCAATGATGAATTTAGCAATTGTAACATTTTAAATTGAAAAATCAAGTTATAATATATGCATATATTTGGATTTTGGGTGTTCTAAATTTCAGGTGCTAATATTGGATACAATTACATACCTCCCACATATAATAATTTGCAGCCCTCAAATGAAATATATGGACCACCAAGCCAAGTATATGGACCTCCTACGTTTCATCAACCTGTCATATATCAACCTCGAGACCATTGGTTTTTAGAGAAACTGAAGAAGAAAATAAATTTGTTTACAATTGGAAAGATAATATTAAAACTTCTGATTTTTAAAAAGATTATCAAATTTATTGGAATTATTTGTATGCTCCTATTTCTTCCAAAATTAAAACATTTTCTAAAGGACGATATGTCAATGGATGAAACCAGTGAAGAAAGCAGATATATTCGAACAGAGAAAGGTAACACTTTTTATTTATATAGTTATGATTTCCTAAGTTTCTTCTTTTCAGATGCACTGGAGAAACATATTGAAGATTTGCAAGATATTATTTTAAGGTCAATTAATTAGAACTAAACTTAATAAGCCTTTATAAGTCGATTAATATTTGATTATTTTGTCCTACATATATTAATAAATATTTATTATTCGAAATACGTATATATTTTTTCTAAATATTGGCATATTTCATTGTAATTACGTTTATCTTCAGGAAAAGTAATAATACGTGTGCCTTAAAGTTACTTCCATAAGTAAAAGGCTCCAGTGGTTCAATAACTGATAATGGATTACATTTCGATTTTCCAAATTTATTGATTTTTGAAAAAGATATAAGTGTTTTTCCAGCACTGAAATATTTATTGTGTTCTTCTGTGCGTTTTCTGTTCGCTGTACTAATATTTCCATAACTTCTATCAAACTTTTTGTTTCAATATAATATCTTCAAACTATATGAGCATTAATTTGAAATTAGCTTAAAAAATGACAACAATAATAAAGCTCAAGACAACTAATCAAGGACGATCAGCGAAGTGTCGTGTTGCTTTAATAAATACTTATTTCTGCTCAAATTAAATTTGTAGCCTCTTAATTACGATTTTTGTAACGCTATTGATAGATTACAGTGTTGTCAAGTACGCCTGTAGGACACCCTCTACATTGACCACTCATAATTAATTATGAAAGTTAATATTTAAGTAAAAATAATATAAAACGTAAAGAAAATAACATATAAAGTAGAAAATTTTAAATGGTATCCAAAAGCTAAAACATATTAAAATAAAATGCAAACATTATGCATAAATGAAAGTGGAAGTAATTACAGGACTTCAAATAGTTAGTATTTAAGTAAAAATTATATAAAACAGCAATTAAAATATAAAGTAAAGAAAATTCAAATAAAATTATGGAAATATAAACATATACCAGTTGACTCGGCAAACGTTGTTTCGTCATATACGTTAGTTTTAGGAAATATTAAAAAAAAAAACAAAGATACGTGTGGCACCGGGGACTGCCGCGGGAAAGCTATTGCATAGCTTTTTTTTACAACTTATGCAATTATAATTATTCATTTATTTTTTATGCAGTATTTTTTTCACTGATATTAATTCAAGTTTTTTCTTTGATGTTAATTCCAGTTATTCTTTTTGAGCGTGGTTACCGATAAGCATACTTTTTTTCATTTATTGAATAAATGAGAACTTAATATTGTTTAAAATATTTTTATTATCTTACAATACATTTAAGCTATTCAAAAATTTTTATCATTGAAACCAAGGCTAAAGGAAAGCTCAACTTATTAAAGTTTGAGAGCGCCTCAAAATTATCATTTTTTATAACATTTTCCATTGTAGCCAGATCGGACAAAATAATAATTTTTGAGAATTTAAATTAGGATACCTAACATTTATTAAGATTAAATATTGTTATACATGTATCAAACATATTCAGAAACTATTTAGACCCTTTTTTGTAAATTTTGTAATATTAGGTAAAGTAAAAAGTTCGTTCGGTTTTTTATTGATTTTTCAAAAGATGATAACTTTGTGCACATTTGTCCGATTTAAATCAAATATGCGTTGTTTTGTTCGTAAACTTGTTGCCAACGAGATGCCAACTTCATTATACCCCTCTCGTAGAAGACTGCGTCCCTATTGCCAAAAAACTCGGGAAGCCAATTTTAACAGGCCTCTCTTGAGGCCAACTTCTCACCATTAAGCGCGTTCGCCATGGACAGGAAAAGATGGTAATGATCAGGAAAAGATGGTAATCACTTGGTGCCAGGTCCGGACTATAAAGTGGGTGCATTAGAACCTCCCATCCGAGATCCCGGAGCTTCTGGCGCGTCACCAAAGACGTGTGTGGCTTGGCATTGTCCTGATGGAACACAATTCGGCCTCTGTTGATCAAAGATGCCCTCTTCTGGATGAATGCTGCCTTCAAGCGGTCCAGTTGTTGTCAGTAGAGGGCCGAATTGAGCGTTTGGCCATAGGGGAGCTAGTAAATGATTTCTTGCGAATCCCACCAAACACGCAGCAAAACCTTCCTGGCCGTCAATCCGGTCTTGGCCACCGTCTGGGCCGCTTCCCCGAGCTTTGACCACGACCGTTTACGCTCGATGTTGTCATAAGTGACCCATTTTTCATCGCCAGTCACAATCCGCTTCAGAAACGGGTCGATTTTGTTGCGATTCTGCAGCGATTTGTAGATGGAAATTCGGTCCATCATGTTTTTTGCGTTAGTTCATGTGACACCCAAACATCGAGCTCCTTTTTGAATTCCAAGGTTATGCAAATGGTTTCAAACGGTTTTCTGGCTTATCTTTAGTTCCTCAGCAATTAAATAAGTGCTCACGTGACGGTGTGTTTCCACTATTTCCGTGATTTTATCGCAATTTTCGACGACAGGCCTCCCGACGTGTGGTGCATCTTTGTCATCGAAATTACCGGAACGGAACCTAGCAAATCACTTTTGTGCTACACGTTCGTTTACAGTATCGGGCCCATAAACTAAATTAATGTTTTCAGCCGTTTTGGCTGCTTTTTCGCTTTGATCGAAGAAAAATTGTAAAATATAGCGAATTTTCTCTTTGTTGGTGTCTTTGACGAGCCCTCACAACGAACTGAGTAAATCAATCGAAAAACTGTCATAGACAAACTTTTAGCGCGAATAAACACGTTTTCAGCGCCGTATAGTATGACATGATGCGACACGTAACACTAGTACTATGGACAATAACGCCATCTATTAGATAAAAACCGAACGAACTTTTTACTTGACCTGATATATTAAAACAATTGACTTTTGAACTTTTAATACTTAAACAAAAGACTAAATGTATTAGCTCTCAATTAATAAATGGTTTTTAAAATTTTCAGTTGAAAATTAACACTACTAAGCATGGCATCACAAACGATTTCATCACATACATTTCAATTTTGCGTTTTCTTTCATTTTCATTGTTTTTCAATGTTTGTTAGTGATCTTTAACAGCAGCAACAAATCTCTCAATTTTTCTGTAGGATTTTTATATGGCCATCCCTCTTTTTCCAATTGCTAAACGTCAGACCTCTTGAACTTTGACAGTTGCCTGAGTTCAGGAGGTTGTGACGTTTAGCAATTGCGCTCTCATTTCCAGTAAGTAATGAGTTAGGCATCTCTTTAACTCTGATTGAAACTATAGGCCTAAGGTAACTGAAATAAGAAACATAAGTTTGAGACTTGATATTCTCTAAATATTCATTTACAAATTAAATTTTTCCGAAAGAAAAGTTGTCAACCACTTTTATCAGCGATGTTGATGTTGAAATTGCCAGTCAAGATGTGTGGAAATTTATTACCATTGATAATCCGAATGAAATACCTAAGTGCAATTGTATTGTTAAATTCCAACGAGATAATGTTCCAAAAGGTGGGGTAGGTATTTATTAAAATAATAATAATGCTACTAATATTATGACTCCAAATATTAAATAATTTATTTTTATGAAATTTCATATTTTTATTTGCCATTAAAAAAATTTTATCTCAAATATTATAATTTTGAATCACTCTTCTGTCTATTCAATTCATTTGACCCGCTTGAAATATGCGAAAATACGCTTAAAGTATGCAAACATTTCGCCCATACTCCGTGATGGTGTTAGGTTTACTTCCTGAACATGCGTTTGCCTATAAGCGTCTTTTCGCGACGATGGCAAAAGCTAAAAATCATAAATTGAACAAATTTCTGATGTTCCTTCAGGAAGGGAAAAGTTGCAACCCTGCAAACACAGAAAAAAGTGACAAGAATGGCAACTTAGTTCTCGTCGATTTAAAATATTGTATTTTACAATTCTAAAATATTTCTCCTTGGCTCGCAAAATCTGCATCGATATATATATGTATGCTCCTACATAAACATTTCGAATGAATCAGTTAGTGAATATATTTACATACATATGTTGCATGTAGACATACATACAACCATTATGCTGTCTCTTCAATTGATTTGTTCCGCTTAAGATTTGCGAAAATACACCTAAAAGTATGCAAACATTTCGCGCATACAAAGCCAGATTTTTCCCAATGGTAATCCCAATGTAAGTTGCCTCATTTTCTGCTCTAAATTTGGAAAGACCAATAACTTACATTTTCTTGCCTCCTCTAGGTTGTATTGCCTTGCAATTTGCAGCGCATTATTTGGAATTATGCGAAAGATTTACATCAATAAGCTCATGTCCACAGTCGCGCAAAGTTTGGGTGGGCTACACAGGCTGACGCTCAACACTTTCCATTTTGTTGGTTTGTCGTCAAATAACGTTTCATTGGGTGAGCGGAGTGTAAGGAAATCATTAATATCTCCAAGAAATCAAAGAATCGGGACGTCGTAAAGATTAAGAATATGTTGTGTCGTTTGGAGCACACCACCTTGTGGAAGGTAAAGTTCAACACTGCTATTTATACGCAGAGGACTGTCATCTCGGAAGATCAAGAATTCGTAAATGCCTAGAAAGAAATGAATGCTCTGCTGAAGGTCCACAGCTTGTACGTGAACTACCGTCCTTTGGCCTTATGTGAGGTAATGACAGCTTCCTTCATTTTAGCGCAAAATTAAAAGTGGAAAATTTCTTCATTTAAACCTAAAATCAATTTTTGGTTAAAAAATGACATCAGCTGAAATTTTATCATTTTCTTTGGCACAAGTTATAAAAGTTAGGGGCCCTTATGTGTGTCAAAAATATTTACCTGATTGAAAATTAAAATATCTAGTATCATGTTAATGCGAGAAACGTTTGAAAACTAACTGACATTCTTTCCTGCTGTAAAGAATTTATTTTTAATTACATTTACAAAAAAAAAAATAATTTTTCACCTTTGTTTCCTTCACAAATGGAACTCTTTGTAAAACAGGGTCAAAACTCTTAAAAAATTGTATTTTACAAACATAACCCATTTCAATTACATAATCGATATACTAATTATTAAATCAAAAATAATATTTTCTACACAGTTATATACATATAAAATATATGAGATGTTTGCATTTTGCAAAGAATAAACACTTAGATAGCACATTATTTGAGTGTTTCGACTTTTCGAATTGATTTGCCCTAAAAAGATTTAAGATACATTCATAAATATAGTATTACGAAAAAATAAGATTGAAAATTTTTATTTCTGTTAGAAAAAATTAAGCCCGAAACTGAAATTTCATGTAGTTTTTCATCGTGTAAAGAATAATTCACAAACTGTATGTGCATATGTGTAGTATTGTAATATCCATACACGCAAATTTATTTCCTTTAAAGTAGTCATACACGACATACTTGTTTACGATCTTTTTAACTTTCGTTCTGAGTAAATATGTGTTATAATCAATCGGATAATGTAATTGTCCTTTTTAAAACACTCATGTAAATTTATTAGAAAATTTAATATAATGTATATCGATAATTTAGTTAATATCTTTAAGTTTATGTTTTTTTAAAGCTTGGTGCTTATTTTCAAGTGATTGGACAATTGTTTTTTTAGTAGGAATTTCCAAAATAATGGGAATGGTTTTAGTAACTCGAGAAATAACTTGTGTCAAGACTTTTCTTACTTCAGTTGCAACAAAAATTACTCCTATATTTCTGCGTCCACACAAGGATGTAAAAAAAGATTCGACTTCATGTGCTGGTGTCTCTTCTGTTACAATCATAAAGTTTTTATCTAATTGTTGCGAACCAGAAGTTTCTCCAACACCTGCCAATAAAAAGCCAATCGTAGTTTCCTAAAAAGAAACACATAAAACTTTAATAATCAATTAGTTATGTTATTTATATACCAAATCTGCAATAACTCCAATAAGCATGCGAAAATCACTACTTAGAGATCGCCTAGAAGATGCACGTTTTGAGGTCATGGTTGAGGTACAAACATGCTGGATTTTTGTTTGTCTGAATTAAATTTAAAAACTATTGAAACTATTTATAAATACAATATTTTCAATGTTTGCCTAAACGGCTTTTATATTTTGATCTATAAGGTTAAGTATAAGATCAATGAATTTGTAAGCAAAGATAATGTTAGTTAATGAATTATTTAATGAGTAGTTAACGTGGAAATATTTTTGAATGCAAAGCTTTAGACGGTTACGTTTTCAAATTTAATGATATATATATGTATATTTCATTATATATATGTGAAGGGAATTATAGTTACGGTGGAGTGAAAGTTAACTTTTTTTCTTGATATTGAGATATATATTGCTTGTCACATGAGTTGCACATATGTATAATTCCCAATAAAATCTTTAAAATCATGAGCGCGGTTTTTTGTTAATAAAACTAAGTTTTTAATAACTTTTTTATGATTTTTTTTGTTAAATGGATTGCAGCATTTTTTAACGAGGCTCGTGATTAATTATCAACGAAATTACGAATGGCTCGAGATATTCCTTTGTTGTTCACATAGACACTGGGACAGCTTTCATATTTATTTCTTTTAACTGCAAAGGATTTTGCTCGAATATCATTTTATTTAAAACAAGAATTGTAATTAATTCAAGGATGTTTTATAATGAATAGAAAACAAATATGGGGTAAAAAAAATTAGGGATTTTTAATACTTAAAAAATAAGAAATTCCAGTTATAAATTTGTCATTGAAATACTAGTAGCGGGTATTCAATACATTCTGGTGGATTAGGGAATTCCTGTCTTACGTATTTCTTTGAGACCATTAAGCGGGTATTATGCATATTGTTCTACTACATTCATGGTAATTTATTGCAAGCAAAATGTGAGACCATCATCCCAACATACAAAAGAAATGTGCAACACACTCTAAGCAGCGCTGACCGCCCGTCATAACATTTTTTTTCTATCCAATCGCGATCAGTAAAATTTTTTTTGAAAATTTATGAAAAAAATACTCACATTCAAATTCGATGTGGAAAGTGGAGGGTTAAACTTGACGTGTTTTTACTCAATATAGACAAATTAAAATGGCGTTGTCTACCGAAAGGAACCGATGATATTCTAAACTCATCACCTGGCACAAAATGAATCCCTCATTTGATTTGAAGAGAAACCATGCAAATGGTACGCAATTAATTGATTTTCAGTTATTGTATTTAATAAGTTCAACTTGACAATCAAAATCTGTAAAGGAACAAGAAAATAGTTGACTGCGAATAGTTCAAACTAAAGCGAAATGATAGACAATTTCATCACTGTTTGGACGAAACGATTGAAGGAAAAACTTCAACAATGCTAAAGAACTCCACCTCAAATTCTCTATCATATTCAATAGGAAGGGTACAAATATAATTATGGTAACAAAACGTGATCGCTATTTTTCTAGGTTTGTACCAAATTTTAAGATGCAAAGCACTTAGACTACATGATATCTCGTAGAAAAATTTTGTATTATATTGGAACAAAAAGCGGGAGGAAGTTTACGGTAGTCTGAATAAATGCCAGTACCTATAAAAATGATGTATTGTCAAATATTGTTAATGCGGAGAAATAGTTGCCTACTATGTACGGACAAGTAGGAAGCCTGAGCGAAACTAGTGCGTGAGATGGAAAACACTTCTAACGTAAGTTGAGGACATCAAGCATTTTACAAGTACCTATACCACAACATTGTATAATTGTTGTTGTTGTTCTAGCGATTACCTTAGCCCGGTTTGGAGGAAAATGTAAAAATCAACCGTTATTGAAATCACTTAGCGGGGGGTCCAGCAAATGGACTTATTCGACGTGGTCGGATTAAAGAGAGAGTGGTGTTATGTGAGTGGTTTTAGCGTGTATGCAAAGAAGTGGTTAGTATCATGTGGGGACATTTGCACTCGTATATTTAGTATGACGTGGTCTATTCTGGATAAGTAGTTTAACCTGGTCAGGATGTGTGGTGTTTCCGACTCCAAAGACGACACTCAGTACACGTCTGAAGTTGGTCGCGTCCGAAATTGCGTCGGTATATAGTTGAAGTTCGTTGACGTATTGTAGGAATGGTTTGGTAACAATCGCGGTCGAATCGTAGCACCACCAATTTGGAACTCAACGCGGTCGTCGGGTCTCCTCGGACTGGACAGAGATTTAACAGTAGTCTATGACTGGCTTACACTGGCAGAGTGAAATCGGGCCTCATCGATTCTTCCAGACGGAATGAAACGAGTAGTAGCAGCGGTGTCACCTTGCGGAATTAACATTTGCCAAAGATCACGTCCGTAGAAATAGGTAGTACGGCGAAGGTGTCCTCGGTGAATTCTGTGAAGCCAACCCAGTTAGCTCTGTTAAAGTAACAAAGGTACTTACTTCCATTTTATGTATTTAATAAACAAATATCTTTCGATAATTTATTCGGAAGTCAAAGTTTAAATAACATTTGCAGTCAACTCCAACCAATAGGTGTACTTATATAACATTTGATACTTCTAAGCAAAAATAAGTATCCGCTCTCTCTTAAGAAAAAAAAAACAATATCAAATATCTTTTATAAATGTTAGAAACATACGCCAAATTTAGTAAATTTTTTGGTCTCTCAAATAACCCACTGATTTCGCAATTAATTTCTGCTGGATTCTTAGTGGCAGGGCGTTGTTTTGTTTGTCATCTGTTTAGCAAACTATGAACTTTCAGTGCTGGTAAATTAAATCACGAGATCATGAGCTCTCTCACCAAGCAAATAGAGCCATGGGTACGGTTGCCTGCAAAAATAAAGTCGGAATTATCAATCGAGATAGTTATGGACAAATGGTCTGAAGCGAGAGTTTGCATAGGTCCCCATATTAGCGATAGTAATATCAGACGTGCTATTACAAGTGCACATAATTCTGTTGGAGACTTATTTATGTATTGTGCAGTTTATTGAATTATCAATTTGTTCCGCGTCTATATTCCACTACGATCGTTGAAGTCGCCAATACCAATCAGTTCTTACTACGAGTAGCATCCCTGCGTCCGATGTCGGCATCAATTAAACGATATTGCACGGTGTTGTGCAGAATGAAGGCTAGACCGCCATTATTATCTGGCTCGCGATTTGTATGTAAGACATTGAAACCGTAGTAGTAGTAGTCCTGGAAGTGAGGAAATGGTATACAGGTTAAAGTTGTTGCAGCTGCAGAACCCGCGAAGGTGTTTGTTGCACAGTAGTGTTGTTCTACGACGCCATTGTTGGTAGTTGCGGGGCCAGACTCCATCAGCTGCCTAGTTGAGCTCCTTGGAGGTTAGTAGTTGGCCACTCGATTGGAGTGGCGGCGGAGTGCGCGAACTAGCTACTGGTTGCACAGCTGTGAATGTCATTGTCGCATTTGTGCGTTAGCAGCAGCTCCATTCATTGCATGTATTGCATCTAACCGAGATGGAATTTCGATAGAGCCGTTTAGCGCATATGCAGCAGGGAAATTTCCCCGGGCCGTGTTGGACTCAATGCCAGTACGAATTAGAAGAATAAAGAGTGGCCCGGCATAGTGGGCGGTACCTAGGCATCTCAAATACTCTAGGAATAATGAAAGAGAGGGTTAGCTGTCCGAAATCAATAGCAGATTGGATTGATATCTGTATGTAATGTAACGCTGTTAAGGTCTAAACCTAGAAGACATGTCTAGACGGTACAACTATAATGTGTCATTCGAACGAATTACCATTAATGTAGTATGTCCATTTCCTATGATGATATATGAACAAACTGAGAAACAAATATGTTCTTGTATTTATTTCAGAAAATATCTTCAATATACATACGTATTACAATATAACCAACTTCTTTTAAATCAAAAGCTAATGCGGTAGGGGAGGTATTTATGCGACTGTGGATTAAATTATAGATTGCGGCTCATAGTAAAAATCAATATGATATAGTAAAGAAAATGAAAAGCTGGGAATAATTTACGATATAATGTATATTAATTTTACTTTTTTTAACCGACTTCATATATGTACATAAGCATTTTTTGTTTCTCAATGTAAATGTTTAGATGTTTCGATTTTTTATTGAATTCAAATTGTAAGTGAAAATAAAATTATTAAATTTTACAAGAAATTTTAAAAATATCCTTATAATAAATAAGTATGTCGTACAAGAAAACATAAATGAAATATCTCAACTTCGCCATTAATATAAATGGAATTTGCAGATCTATACTCTAGTTTAAAGCTTATCTCTAAATTTATACAAAACCAAAGTTTTTCGATTTAATGGCCATAAGCAATTTGCTACGTAAAATAGTTTTGCTAGAATATAAAGGTATATATAAACGTGATATACAGGTGTTTGCTGTAGGTAAATGCGAATCATCGGCTGGTCTAATAGTTACTGAAGGAAGGGGCTGAAATCCTTCTTCGGAGGCTGGTAGCGCAGGTGAGCCGGTCCAAAAATAAACCTTATATTTGATATATAATTATTAAGTAGAAATTGCAACTATTTACGGTTAAAATTTAAATTCAGCTTACCAAATCTTGACGCTCTGAAGTACCCATTTTTTCAACAATGCTCCAAAACCATCTCTTAAATTTAAGTAGCTTATCAGATCCCTCACTGGATTCATCATTGAATGTTGTGTATGATATCAACGTCGAAACATTTATGTCTCCAACGCCGTTTAATAAAAGACGAAAATCTTCAGCAGTTAAGCTGTTCATGCAGCTATCTGGCAGCACATCAAATACTCCATCTCTTAGCGCCTGAAAGTATAATTAAATAAACTTTCTCATTTACATATATACAGACAGGCTCTGTAATTCCGAGTGAATTTCAAGCACATTCATTTTCAATTCGACACTTCACTATATTAAATTTCCACTTTTTTTTCAAAATAAATTCTGAGTGAAAATGTTTGTTCTGAAAAACGAATTCACAAGAAAATATTCGTTTATTATTCACTTTAAATCCATTGTGTAAATTTGGTGGGTGTAAACATGTAAGTAAATTTGTGTGTTAAAATTCTGCAGAAATCATTATTATTATTAAAAGACCAACATAGGATTCAGAACAGATGCAATTGTTATTATTCGATTCATGGAAGATCGTAGACATCGCCCGATGCTTTGTGAAAGAATTTAGCTTTATTATAGATAGGTGTTTGCCTTTATGTTTTAAAAATGATTTTGGGCAAGACTGCCTCGGCTGGCTCGAATAAACTCCAGCCGAAAGGCCCAATATTCCACCACTTTTTGCAGCAATTGCGGCCGTATGTCAGCAATAACGCGCCGAATATTTTTTATGATATGAGACTTCAGATAACTCCACAAAATTAGTCTAGCGGTGTTAAATCGCCCAGTCTAGGAAACCATGCCACAGGCTCACGACGCGTGATAAGAAAAGTTTCCTTCAATAAATTGAATGTTTCGTTGGCTGTATGGCATATAGCCTCGTCTTTTGGAACCAATCTTGGTCCAGGTCAACATCCTCCAATTCAGGCACAAAAACGTCAATAATCATGGCTTTATAGCGTTTCCAATTGACTGTAACATCATGGCTTCATTTTTGAAAAAATGTGGACCAATGTGTTATTATCACATATATTTAAAATAAATAGTTAAAAAAAAATTTCTTCTGAAAATCGAGATGTAGAAAAATGCAAAAACCAAGAATTTTGCTAGTTAAAGAAGTTTTCTTAAGCTAATTTTTCCTCAGGTTTGCATAGAATGGAAGGCTTTCATTAGAAAAAAATTGCCTACAAAATTTCTGAAGTTAGAGAAACTGGTGGGCGCCATTTAATAAATTCACATTAACCCCAACAAATAGTTTCTTCTGCAATTAGTTCATCTTCTATAACAATCGTTGCAAATATACTTAACATACTCATTTTATATTATCATTTTGATGTATTTAATTTTTTGAATAATTTGAATGAAATGAAAATTCATTTGTACGACGAAAGAAAATGAACAGATTTCTCGTTTTTAAAAACACCAAATTCACTTGTTTTGCATTTATTTTAATTTCCACTTTCACTCGGATTCCAGAACCTGCCCTTCCAATCCATACAGACCTGATGAAAAATTAGCTTAAGAAAACTTCTTTAGAATAGCAAAATTACTGGTTTTTACTTTTTTCCAGCCAAAAATATATTTTTCTGGTGGACCATGTAACAGGTGGTTTTTTAGACACGTGGTTTGCAACAATGCAATATTTTTTCGTAATTGATCTTTTTAAAAGTTGTTACTTGATTTATGCTGTTTGGTTTTCCATTTTAAATTAAAAAGACTTACACCGGAGCAACGTTTGCAGATCGTTCAAATTTATTACCAAAATAATGGTTCGATTCGGGCGACGCATCGCGCACTGTGTCGAATACTCTGTCTACATAATTGCCTATGGATCGATTTTGCACTAGGTTTACTCTAATATAATATTTTTTTCTTCTTGAAAACCACATGTTAAAAAAAAAAAACACCCAGCTCTCTTTCTTATGTTTTCCCCTTTAATAATTAACAACAACTTTCATAATGAAAAAATACTATTTTAAACATTTTTTCTGCATAATTTTAGCACACAAATTTACTTACATGTTTGCGTGCACCAAATTCACACAATTCATTTGAAGTGAATAACTATCGAATATTTTCTTGTGAATTCGTTTTTCAGAACTCTCATTTCATTTCAAAATGTGGAAATTAAATAGTGAAAGTGAAGTATAGAACACCGAATGTCGGATTGAAAGTGGAAGTTTAGTGGTTAAATATATAGTGATCCATTTCGAGGTTCTTTACTTTTTTCAAGCAAAAAACACAAAGAATTCAAATTTAATGGGGAATGTTTTTTATCAATCGAATAACATTCTTTGACATTTATTCTGACTGAATTGATTGAAGCAGTCCATTAAATCGATAATTGAGGCAATCCCCTTCAGGCCGCAGTGTATAATTAGGTGTTGCATATGCGTGTCTCAGCAAGGAGGTCATTTACGGTCCATAACTTTTAAAAATAATTAACTATATGAAATAAAATTAGCTATACAATAAAAAAAGTCATGTATTGATTAAAAAAAAAAAAGTAGTAAAAGAAGGATTTGAAATGTTCGCTTTTAGAACTATTTTTTATATTTCATATTGGTCACTGATAGTTTATTTTTATAATTTTATTATTTGTGTATACTTGTGACTTCGTTGGGTCTACAAGCTATGCCTACTAATAAATATATATTCTATTAAATATGGTTACACATAATAACTTTCCATTGAGCGTGGAAATTGGTCAAGTATATTGGAACTTTGTAAACAGCAATTGTATATGAGAAAAAAAATTACGTTCATTGTAATATAAAATATTGTATCCGCCTGCTTTTAAACGTTTTTAAATGGCTGTTTCTGTGTTTGACGAAAATTCTCACATTAATGCCTATTTTAGCATGATCCAGCTCATACACACTCTTTTGTAAACCAAGACGAAGGGACCGTGCCCCATTGCCAGCACGCTTTCAAATTTTTTGAATGGTTGCAAGAGCTCTCGGTTTCAAATGAATATATACCATTCGTTCAGAAATTTGAATTCGGTTATCTATTTTTTGTATGTAATATGCAAGTATGTATGCATAAATAATAGAAATATTTTGAAAAAATTTAAGTAAGGAGAAAACTAAGATATCAAAAATACTCAATTTAAATTTTTAATAACATACATAAAATAATTCTAATAAAAATGGTAACTTTACTTTTTTATATTTACATAAAATATTAAGATACTTTCATATTTATTCCTTTTAACCGCAAAGGATTTAGTTTGAATATCATTTTATTTAAAACAAGAATTGTAACTAATTCAAGGACGTTTTATAATAAATAGAAAAAAATACGGAAAAAAAAATTATGGGTTTTTAATATAAACTTAAAGATTAGGACATTCCTGTTATAAATTTGGCCTTGAAAATATTAGTAGCGGGTATTCAATACATTCTGGTGATTTAGGGAATTCCCAACTTAAGTATTTCCTTGAAACTATTTAACTATTAAACATTTATGGTAATTCATTGTCAGCAAAATGTGAGGTCGCCACATACAATGCGGAAATTCTATGAAAAGAAATGACAGAAAAACTCGATTTGAGTTGCTGCACTCATTTTGCTCTTTGTTTTGACACCAGAAGAGTATTTGCCGATAATGAGGGTCAAAAGAGTCCCCATGTAAACACAGTACATTACGGCATATCTTTAGAGTAGTAAGATAACTCACAGTTTGACCAATCTGTATGGTGTAAAGTTATTTATACATTAAATATATACGCCCCCTAATTCACCTGATTTGACCTATTTTAGGCGCACGGATACTCTGGTTGGCTTCGAAAATGTACTACTGCAAAGTATCGATACAGTATGGCTACATTGCAAAAAGATGCGTTGTATAATTTGTCGTTACAGAACACTTTTACTGCAAAGTTTAGTTTCATAAAAAGCTGTGAAGGCACAATTGGTGCAAAATCTTGTTTCGATAGCCTCATTGGCTCTGGATTTATATACTGTACTGAAAGAGGAAGAGGGAGTTTTAAATAGTGCTGGTAGGTAGTAATTGTAGTTTGATTTCGAAATATAATATAAATATGCCCAGATATTGATATGTCTAGACCTCGTTAAAATTGGTCGACTTTCGTATCATATGGAATGTGAAATTTTGCCCTTGCATTGGCAGTGGGCCTGGTTATTATTTGATTTCACTCATTTTCATAGCGTAGCATCCCGATCTGTCTGAACAATATATCTAACTCGATTATTACAAACAACCGTTAGGTGTACAAAATTATACTCGTGGCGAGTGAAAAGAAATGTTGCGTAACTATTCAAAATTCATCATTTAAAAAAAACTTAAATCGATTATAATCATATTTGATATCTTATTAACTCATAATATAATAATTGATCGATATTAACGATATAAAGCCAAATGGAGTTAAAAAATATTTAAGTTAGGTATTTAACTATATGCTTAGGCGTATGTGGTATCACGACATATTATAACCGGAGAAAGATGCTCTATACATTTCTAAAAGACAGATTGAGCGAAAAAAAATATATGTACCAGATTAATTATTACAAGGCAAATGGTTTTAGTTACTTACCTCTAAAGCTTTTTCCTGCGCTTTGATCAGTCTATATTCGGTGTAACGTTTCAAATACTCAAATAAATTGCTGCTAGTAACTTGAATTTCACGTCCTCCTGGTAACAATTCCACACTACCTCCTCCTTCTTCTTTCATAAGATCGATACTTAAGATGTATTTAAAACAATAATAGTTATAAATCCGCAAAAATGTTATTTATGAAATTTAGCTTACACAAAAAACAACTCCATACGTAGTATTGTGGTATCTCCATCCTCTGATTGGGCGTTTAGTATAAGTTGCCTGAATGACTCGTATATTGTTGGATCAAAAAATGCTAAATCGTAAAATTTAATTTTTCTTCCTAATATAAATTTTAATACATGTCGTTGCAAAAAAAGGGGAAGCAATTCATTTTGCAGCAAACATAGTCCGACTAATCTGAAATATAATTTCAGTTTTGCTTAATAATTAAAACAGATAAAACAAACAATAAGAGAAAACATTAACTTCGATTGCACCTATCCAAGCATTGCCTCAAGCAATAATACTCTTGACAGACCATAAAAAAGGACAGCCCATTCTACGCTTCTGAATTGACCTCGAGTTAATCCGCCCAAAACCAAATGCCGTTATTTCGGCGATCCAACCCTCCTTGGATTGGTAAGCTTTAGCTTAAGTTTATCACATCCTCCTGATCCTTGTTGGATCAAATTAAGTCCAACTCAGACCCGAAGGAATTTTTCTGCAGTGTTTGTACCAAACTGCTCCATTCAACTTCGGTTAGGTGTAATACATGTAATGGATAGAGCTATCTTAAGATCTGTCAGGCCTTAAGACACATAGGAATTCGCCCACACTTTATTTGGCGAAATATTGCCAACGCACTACTGCAAAAATGGCCTCTACGACCCTGAAAAATGCGGTCCCAAGGAGCTCAACTAGCAAGCTTGACTTCCCAATCAGTCAATATATAAAATAGGTTTTTTACCCAATTTCCATTTTCTATTAATGCTACTTGGTAGCAGTTCTAGTTTTTCGATATTCTAGCCAACCAGCACAAAATTAAAAACCGTAATACTATAAAAAGTTGAAGTTCGCCAACCAAGGAAGAACTAACGAAAGAGCTCCAGAAGTCCATTGCGTGAGCGGGGGCAGTCTTGCCACATTTTAAACTTGAACCGACAGTAGTGGTAGTAAAGCGACAGAGGTCAACTGAAGAGGCTAAGTCGTCAGCCAAAAGACCGAAAACTAAGGGTGTGACACCAGCATAATCATTTGCTGCTGCGGCCTGGAACCGAATTGCAGTGTTGGAAAAGGGAGATCCCGAAGGAAAAATTTCCAGAGCCCAATGGAAATGGGTGCAAGTTGCGCTGACAGATGTGACACTGGAGGGGCTACTAAGAAATCCGGATCAGCCACCGACATGCAGGAAACTAGCTCCAATAGCCCTAATTAACCGTCTGGCAATAGAACAGACTGAGTTTGTCCTCATTCAGGAGCCATGGCTTAATGGAGGGCGCATTTGCGGACTGAGGACACCGAACTATAAGCTATATATGGCAAATTATGAAGGTAAGATCAGGGCATGTATAATGGCAAAGAAAAACCTTAACGTTTTTATGTTACCCCGCTTATAACAACCGTGACCCAGCAGCACTAAGCTGGGAGACGGGAGGAAGTGTTTACCGACTGGTGCCAGGTTATATGCCATACTATGAGGAGCAAGTACCATCTGAGGTGGCAAAAGAGTTGGTACGGGAGAGCGAGGGATCCATAGCTGATTATACTTGGATGTGACACAGACGTCAATGATAGAGGTGAGTGCTAGAAACTAAACTTATGTTGTGCAACAGAGGAAGTATGCCAACGTTTAAGTCCTTTAATCTAAATTTTATTATGCACATACCTTCCAATATTCCTGAATGCACTTATTCGTTCAAATGAGCCATAACCTTGTCTTGGCGTATAAAAACCTCTTTTCCCAGGTGAATAAAATAATGGTTCATTATCTTCAATTTGACACTGTTCAAGTAATACCACCGGAATCATTTTCTTTTGAGTTTGGGTGGATACATTATTAGCCTCTGATTTTTGCTTGTATGTTATTATATCAAGAGCTTCGTTGACCTTTTGCCTTAATGTATCTTCAGAGGACAAAATGGAAAGTAGTTGAGGTGTTGGTATTTCGAGCAGCATTCCAGTAATTTTTGACGCATTCGTAGCATTTATAGAATAAATCTAAGAATATATAATGAAAAATATATATTTAAACAAAACGTTAATAAAAATACAACTAGATAAGAGACTATTGCAAATTATAACATAATAAAGAGTCTCTATATATTAAGATGACTACTGTGATAACTTGTTAAATAAACAGTATAATTATCTTATATATAGAAAGAGTTTTACCCATTTTTTGGTCCTATTATATTAGTGACCTAATGAATAATGACTGGCTATTTAATATCCATAATTTAATGTCATTTAAACTAGGAAGCTGTTTAAGTATCTAAGCTTTTGAAGTATCATCTCAATAAACATTTACGAGTACCAACTATATATATATATATTGAAGTTATGTGCAACTCTTTGATCTCTTCAAGATATCGAACTATACAGTAGAATTGATTTTAACGTTAGATGATCACAACTTACAATATGGAACGTGAAGTGAAAATGATATCTTCATAAATTTTCAAAATTGGCTTTATTAATCAATATAATCTCCATCAAGAGCATCAAAATCATTCCAGCGCCGCTTTAATATTTCAATACCACTTGTGTAGAACGATTTGTCTTTTGCCTTAAAATAGGCCTCAGTTTCAGTGGTGACCTCTTCATTCGAGCGAAATTTCTTACCGGCGAACATTTTTTTGACGTTTGCGAACAAAACCTGGGTGCCAAATCTGGAGAATAAGGTAGATGCGGCAGTAATTCAAAGTGCAATTCAGGCATATTTGTCATTGTTTTTATTGATTTGTGACACTGTGCGTTGTCTTGATGAAACAAAATTTGTTTCTTTGCCATATGTGGTCGCTTTTTTACAATTTTGGACTTCAAACGTTCCAATAATGCTATAGATTTGTCACTATTGATCCTTTTCCCCTTCTCAATATAGTCGATGAATATTACACCTTTCATATGCCAAAATACGAGGCCATAACGAAACACTGTTCAGAATCTGGTTTTGGTTAACTGTCAGCAAACGCAGCACCCATTTTGAACAGAGCTTTCTCATGGACAAATGCTCACGCAATATAAAGCCAACACGTTCTTTTGAAATCCTTACGATGTCAGCTATATCACGCAACTTCACATCCCGGTCGTTCGGAACGATTTTGTTGTTTTTTTATGTTTTCTGGTGTTTAGCATCATTGGTGTCTCCACGACATGTTTGAAGTCAGCAAACCAACGTTTTATTGTGGTTTCTGATGGTGCGGAATCCCCATAACACTTTTCAAGCCATTGCTTCGCTTGAACGGTATTTTTCCTATCAAGAAGCAGGGTAGAATTAAAACACGAAATCGCCTATCACCGATTAAAATAACAATAGTAGCAACACTCTTTCCACAATAACTCGCAAACTTATAAATAGAATGTCATGAAATTTTTACAGCTGTCTTTTGAAGCAGTACTAACTGAAAATTAGGTTAAGCCCATGTGTTATTTATATACATAAGTAATGTATATTACTTTAATTACCAGCAATTATTTATCTTTAAAAAATCAACGATTATTTAAGCAATCTTACTTCAGTTATTAAATTCATTACATTCGTCGGATCTTTGTTAGATTTTAGTTGTAATAATATTGATTACAGACTTCTTTTAATAACCTTCTTCTAATATATTTTGAGTGTTTTAGTTCTTTTGGAAGAAAAACATGTTACTGTACAAAATTTGGTTTGATAAGTGTTGTCCGGGCTCCTCAAAATTCTAGAGTTTCAGGGGTTTGATATATATATGTATATATGTTATATTATATATAACTATATCTCTATCGATTAACTCTAGGCGTTACAAACAACCATTAGGTGAACAAAACTACTATAAGCTGTGCAAACATATGGCGAGAGTATAAAACCAACTTCTTTTTATTACGGGTGATCCGTCCCACATTCTGGAAAACTAATATTTCTGGTTACTGGACTGTTTGCATGAGTAATAATTGCTAACTCTTTCGTGTAAAAATCTGTACACCACTAAAGAATATCAACATTTATCATACTTCACTTTGGGTATTTAGTAATTAGAAGAATATATTTTTTGTACCGCGATAAATGTATAACTCGCACTTTAACGTACTATTGATACATATCAGTTAAAAATGTATAGCAAACCAATAACTTACCTTAGGAAACAGCCTTTCACCTAACTGTTGTAAATGTACAGATAAATGGTCATTGGGTTCGGTTGTACCATCTAAAATTAAAAATGAAACCATATGTTACGCTAATTACAGTTGCAAAAATTAAGTGAACATTTTTATAATAGCTATTAATTTCCACTTATTTATAAAATAAGCGCTTAAGCGCTGCGGCAACGAAGACAATACAGGGTCCGGAACTCGAAGTGTAACCAATTATAACGGCATTAATCATTTCAACGCAAAAAATGTGTGACAATAACACAAAATTCGGAAACAATTTGTTTTTGCTCGATATGACCACCTTTTGCCTTGACTATGGCCTTGAGATAGTCCAAAAACGAATCGCAAGCAGCCCGAATGTGACTTCCAGGTATTTTGACCCACTCGCGGGCAACGGCTTTCTTCAGCGCCTCGAGACTGGTGTATTTTTTAGTTCGAACCTTGCTCTCCAAAATAGCCCAAATAGAATAATCCATCGGATTAGCGTCTGATAAATTCGAAAACCATTGTGTGGACGTTATGAAGTTCGGAACGTTGTTTTTCAGCCATTCTTAGTTCACTCGAGCTTTATAAGATGGTGGCGCGTCTTGTTGGAACGTCCACGGTTTGCAACCGAAATGTTTGTCTGCCCACGACTTCAAAGCAGCTTCCAGAATACTTTCCCGATAATATTGAGCATTTACCTTGACGCCAGAAAAACGATTGCAGAGCGCCCATCTGCGATTACAGCGGTCCAAACCATTACCTGTGGCGGGTGCTGCCTCCTGGTGCAAATCCTTTGCTCTCTGAAGTCTGACTTGTTGCTGCTTGGGTGTGAGATCATGCGCCTTTTGAATCTTATAAGGCTTAACCTTCATTTTTCAGTATGCGGCGGATGCTACTATCAAATATTTTCAATTATTTTGCCATTTGATTGGCACTTCGTCGGCGATTTAGCTCAAGGCGCTTTTTCACTTTTTTAACCATCTCACAAGACGTTGCAGTCTTTTGATGACCACCACCATGGCGTTTTACGATGCTAAAAGTATTATTATATCGAGTTATGGTGCGATAAACGAAAACTGTATTCACTCTTAGGTGTTTGAGCTCTCGTACAATAGCTGGTTGTTATTTTCTAGCTTAATATAATGCAATCACACGTTTGAAATCCATTACTACTTCCTTTTTTTTGCGTTCACTTTCGGCAAAATGCTTTCGTGTGCTTGTAAACAATATTCTAAGCTGTCATTTTGCTAACTTACAAACAGCGGATGCTCGTGCGTCAGCTACGCGAGCGGTCTGAAGTTGGTTACACTTCCGAGTGCCGGACCCTGTACTTTTCACACGTTTCTGGTGAAAATGTTGGCCATATTTCCATAATTAAATCATTTAATTTATAAAAACTACGAGACTTTCTCTCAATAACCTTAGTTTTTAACCACGCCCATAAATTTCCAATAGGGGAAAGGTAAGGGATTTATCAGGGCCATTCCAGCAACCTCACGTTTCTATCAAGGTATTTACTAACAATTTTGGCATTATGAATAAAAGCGTTGTCTTGTTGAAGGATAAAATACTTGACTTCTTTCATTAAAAGATACACTTAAGCATTAACTTTGTCTTCAAGTACCACCTATTTGCACAAGTGCAGCCCCATACCACGAGGCCCTTATTGTTTTCTTTAAGTGTAGGTTTTATACATTTGAATGTCAATGCTTCGCCTACTCTACGCCACACATACATTTGACTACTATACTTCATCTAATCATTAATTCGTCCGAGCAAAAAATTTTTGATGAAAAATTATTTGGTTTCACGACATAAAATTTCTTCCGTTTTGCCAAGTTGACCTTGTTTATATAAGGAACTTTCCGTGGTACCCTACCGTACATATCCCCATCGTGTAAGCGTCTATGAACTGTAGGAAAATGCGGTTAACTTTTCTCTTCCATAACCAGCAGAGTCTCAATTTTCGGTGCGGAATAAAACCTATTCGACTTAGAAATATTTATAATCCTAGAAACAACACGTTTTGATGTAATTCCAGGCCTTCCTGTGGAAAACTTTAGAGCAATTCGATTTTCACGGCTGAATATTTTTATAATCTGCTGAAGATTTGCTGAAAGTTTTTGCTATTGAAATACAATATGCCTTATGAATTTAAAGTAACTGTAAATCGACTATTTGATTTACAGTTACTTTAAATGCCGACATTGTTACGCCTTTTAATAATGTTAATTAAAGCAGAATATCCTTGGTCTGTACGTTCACTTAATTTTGATCGCATCTGTATGAGTAATAAAGTTGTAGCATTAAAATTTTGTTAAAATATAAACCATAATCATTTACAATACAAATTGGTCGGCGAAAATCCCCCAACAACGCAGACAGGAACGAGCTGGTAACAGTTCACCCATTATGTGGTGAGGTATCTAGCTAATGTTAGACTTCCTACCTGGGTGTTGGTTGCTCCTCAATAGCATAGCACCCAGATAGGGAGTGTTACTATGGTAACGGGTACATCAAGGGCTGGATCAAGGTGTCATGAGACCCGTGACGAGGATCAACTTGGCTGGTGGTCCTTAAATAGCCCAGCTTTAAGGAAGACGCAGATATAACAGTTATTAATGCGACTTTTACAAATGAGTCCCCATCACAGCAAACTAGCTCCAATAGCTCTAATTAACCATCTGGCAATAGAACAGACTGAGTTTGTCCCCATGGGTTAATGGAGGCGCATTTGCGGACTGAGGACACCGAACTATAAGCTATATATGGCAAATTGTGAAGGTAAGATCAGGGCATGTATAATGGCAAAGAAAAACCTTAACGTTTTTATGTTACCCCGCTTATAACAACCGTGACCCAGCAGCACTATGCTGGGAGACGGGAGGGAGTGCTTACCGATTGGTGTCAGGTTATATGCCATACGATAAAGAGCAAGTACCATCTGAGGTGGTAAAAGAGTTGGTATGGGAGAGCGAGGCATTCAATGAATGATTACACTTGGATGTAACTGAATAAAAAAGACGCTTTTAATATACCATTATTTAAAAATGTTAAATAAAACTTATCTAATAAACAATATATCAGCACAATGATGCATACATATGTAATACGACATCTGGCACAGACCTGCAATTATTTTTCAGCGAAAAGTTTCAGGAATGACCAGGGTATTGCTCTCACATTCACTCCATATAAGTTCTAGTTTTTTGTTCTGTTGCCACATCTATCATTAAAGCTACGCTGTTTTGGGTATATCTATCGAATTTATCGACGGCTAATTAGAATAATCGATACCAGTCCTAATAACCATTCCGAACTCTCAAATATCAGCTTTTCCAATAGAGATGATATGATTTCTAAGAATCGTTTCGGCCATTTTCATTTGTCATGATCTGTAATTTTTTTTTTCATTGTATTCAGTAAAGTTTACAATTTTACCATGGAAAGATAAACGCAAGAACAACGTTTACAAATTATTAAATTTTACTACCAAAATAATCGTTCTCCAATTGCAACTCTTCGTTCGCCTTTACCATTTTATAGTCTTCCCCGATGAGGCTAAGTTTCATCTGCGTAGAAAAGAAAATAAACAAAACAGTTGATTCTGGTGTGTAGAAAATCCACAAATTATTCATTAACAACCGTTACATGCACCTAAATTGACATTTTGGTGTGTTTTTTGATTTGGTGGAATCATCGGTTCGTACTTCTTTCGAAATGAAGCTGGAGATACCGTTACTATCAATGGAGAGCGGTATGGATCGATGATAACATCATCAATTGATGATAACAGCCGCAATTGGAAAAAGTTGATCTTGACAACATCTGGTTCCAACAAGACGGGGCTACGTGCCACACAGCAACAACCGAATTATTGCGTGAAAAGTTTGGCGACTAGCTAAATTCAGAAATTGTGACATTGAATGGCCTCCAATAGTTGCGATTTAATACCATTCGACTACTTTTTGTGAGGTAAGTTGAACTCATTGGTCTTTAGCAAAAAACCAGATTTCTTCAAGAAGTCAATTTTGACATTGATCTTACGAGGGGTTTTTTTTTATCATATCACTCTTATTGGAAAATCCTGTATAAGAAATGGTTGAAAAATATTTTTAAGCATTTAAATAAATGCATTGTACTCACCGAGGAGTTTTTTGAATCTTACAAAGTTGATTTTAAACAATATGCTATACTTTTAAATTTTATGAATAAAGTCCTTGATTTTTGATCAAGGTGGTATATTCAACTATATGGCATTGCTTTTTATATTGTAATAAAATCATTATATTAATGTTCCTTGGTATGTAACAAATTTACCTGAGTGATTTGAAGCTGGAAGATATGGCCTGGCATCATAATTGAGTAGTTTCCTCTCTCGTGAGGTGCGCCAAAAAATTTTGTTTCCCGCGGTACGTCTTTGCAATGATGGAGGATCACGATTAGAAACGCCTCGATTTCGTAAAATACTTGAAAATGGAGTTCCATATTTATTGTTCATACCAATATGAGTTGTTTCTAAATTTGGCATTTTCGCAGAAGCTAATAATGCTTCAGCGATTGATGTATAAAAACTGCGCGCTACACCAGATCCTTCTCCAGGTTCGTCCTTAAAAGTTACTTTTACGCGATTAAATGTCAGAGGGGTTTGTACGCGCCTTGTTTGACTACCAAATTGCGCATTTAACTCTTTAAATGTTTGAATTATTAAGCACTCTCGATTACGATCTAATTTACATAATATAAGATCACGTTGTTGTCCGTTTCGCAACTTTTCCATATGTCTTCGAAATCGGATCTCTTTAACAGGAAACCCACGTAGTTCTGGTAGCAATGATCCGAGTTCCATGCCTACGTCATCCATAAAAACCCTTCCAAATAAATCCAGTGTTAATTTCCATCGTCCCAGTAAAAAATTCCAAGAAGGAGTGACTGAGGAAAATTGTTTACAAAAATTTATTCCACGAGGTGGGAAAATAATGTTTGTTCGTTTGATATCCTCTTGCAAAGGTAAACGTATATCAATTTTTTCACTTTCCATTTTTTTGGCTATTGAGCTAGCCCGGACAATAACACTGCGAGCCGATGACGTGGTTGAAAACTGTGATGCATTGGCAATTTCCCCTTCAGTTTTTTGCAATTTATTTGGGGCAATAATAACTTCGGGGCGACTAGAATTCATTGGATAACTAACACTAGATTGAGTTTCGAGTCCAGGTACATTTTCGTCAGTTTCCATTGGTTCAACATTTCGGTGTCTTGAATCTAATCCTATTAATACAAAAGAACATTGAAAAATACAAAATATTTCACTGATAATATTTATGAAATTTTCTATATATGTATGGTAATTTTACGCAAAAGCATTATACGAAATCAATTTAAGTATAGATTTCATTTAGCATGTAGTTAAGAAAGGCTTATCGTGTAAAATATCTTTACAATGTTTAACCATAAAATCGAGAATTCTAGATATTGAATACAATTGAAAACTTTTTAGTCTGGGTATTATAGACATTTTGCCTAGTTTTAACAACAAAATAAGAGTTCTACAAAGGTGTCCGAAACACTTTCAAGGATTGTTTGAGAAGCTTTTCCATACAAAAAATAAATTCAAAAGTTTCATTGGTGCAAGATATATGCATATACAATTTCCCTTTATGTTTCAAACAGTCACTTTAGAATATTTTATTTAATGAATTATTGATGGAGTAATGAATATTATTGTTATAGGTGTACAAGAAAAATCAACCATTTCATTGTATATATTCCAACTGGGCTCTATACCTCTAATATACAGTGTTGGAAAAAAAAATAAACAGATTTAAATATATTAGTCCCACAGTATTGAAGTTAACTGTAAACTAATGCTATCAAACATACTATAATTTAACGCCCGTTATACTGAAATAGTCTTTCCATTGCGATAAAAAAAATTATGATTTTAGGTGCACGAGCTACGTATGAGCTGGAAAAAATAATAGGCACAAATTTAGATATTCATTGAAGTGAAATAAAAACCATTATTAAATTAAGAAAATCGAGAAAAGCTATTCGTGGAATAACGGACATAATGGAATTCTACAAAAATATGGTCTGTAATGCCTTCAAAACACGCGTAAAAAGGGAAAAAAGAAGACGGAAACGAAAAAAATGGCACAGTTTGACCATTTGCTGGCAGTGCAACCAAAAAAGGTTCAATTTTTATCTTCTGAAAATATTAAAAATTTACTAAATGCCTCAGTGACCAGTCGCACAGTTAGAAACCGACTTCGAGAAGCTGATCTAACTAAAATAAATGCAAGAACAGTTCCGTTTTTAAACAAACAATCTGTAAAAAAGAACACCGGTCACGACTTGTACTAATATGGTCAGCTAAATGCCCCGAAAAAGGATTTAAATGGAAGAAAAATAATAATTAAATAAAATGACACAAAAAAATTAACTAATGTTTGTCCCTCTTTTTACTTCCAGGCTGATATACAAAATGTATCCGTTTTCACTTTGTAAACTAAAATAAACCTTAAATAAGTACTCAGATGTTAAATAATTATCTATTTAATTATATATAAATTTTGAATTATTTTATTCCATACCGTTTAATTTAAACATATAATTAAAAATTTTAAACATATCCCTTTTGTCTCTGTTGTTTTTTCCAAAACTTTACATTTTGGCGACTATGGCTACTATAAAAACATTTGCATTAAAAGTCGTTCCTAAACTGCTTATTACAAACATTAACTACATTTTTACGTTTGTATTTTTGAAAATCATTGTTTAGATAAAAGAGCTCCTAAAATACTAAAGACAACTAGTGTGAATTTAGCATGTCTAAATACTATAAAAAGGTATGGTAGAATAATTAATACATCATAAATGACGACCAGCTCCAAGTTGTCGGTTGCCACTAATTCAAATTTTGGGATACGGTCGCAATACTGCATAACAGCTTCATTGAGTTATAACTACTGTTCGTCTGAATATAGAGTGACAATTGTAGTAAAAAACTATTACATTAAAATCAACTTATTTCAGAGTTAGCATTAAAGTCGTAATGGTACATTTGTAAATATATTGTAAGATTATATGTATATCGGTATTTTAATTACCTGTTTTCCAGCTATCTCCAAATTTTACGCAACTTGATAACGCCGATTTATAGCTAGAAAAACCTAGCTTTGTTGGTGCCGCAGTCATATCGGCGCCCTCCGCAGTATTTTGTTCTGTCGGAATTAAAAGCGGTAAATTAGAAAATAAGTCCTCTCGCTTTGAATTTGGCTGAAGAAGATGCGGTTTATCAGCTAGAGGTATAGCAACATCCAGCGGTAAGTCAAAATTATCCGGAGCTAAACAACCCAGGCTTAATGTTGATTCTGATCGAACAAAAAACGAATGACGACGAGTTGTTGCTGACAAAGATATAGCTATTGCTGCAGAAGAATTAGATTCAGGAAATATTTCCTCATTTGTTATGTTAGAAAACTCATCATCCGTATCTTCATTATCATTTAAATTGGAAATATTTATGTTAGAAAATTGTTCTGTTTTTTCATAAAAGTTTGAATTATTACGCATATAGTAAAAAAACCCATCAAATACATAGGCTATATGCCGAAAAGCTGTTATATCCAAGACGGGCAAAGCGTCACGATGTTCTGAGGTATGAGCCCGCATTAAGGACAAACAATAAGTAAAAAAATCTCTTCGGGTGGATGAACCTATAAATATATTTATTATAAATATTTTTTTTTACAGGATTGTAATATTTAATCATACCTATCATATTAATTCCAGCTGACGAAGAGCCAGATTGGTTAGAAGTGTTCTGAGTATTAAGATTAAGGGGATGAAGTGGATGTGTTGGATCGGTATAGTTTGTCAAATAAGCCCCAAACTTCAATTGTGGTTCTGTCCCGTCCATAATCGAATACATCCAATTCCAAGTAGACTTGAACCTTTCTTCAATGTACATCTGTAAAATTAATTATAATACAATGCATATTATACAATTTAAGCGCTTAAAAAAATATTTCTCATTCATAGCTAACTAAATATAAAATAGTATTTTGTTTTAAGACAACTGCAGGTGCGTTCATAATAATTTTAATGGATTTAAGTTGTGAAATTTTCTTGATTGTACGAAACGGTATGAAAATCAGTTTTTAATCGCATTTGGTCACCTTTATGAGTTGGTCTTAATAGTAGTGCGTTATTAGCTTATCGCTGTGTGAAATTTAATATAAAACTGGGATTTAACGGGAGTTATTTCTATTAAGAGAACTCAATTAGAAAGTTACAAGCACTACAATAAAGGCACTAGAAATTTAATAATAAACTTAAAAGTGAAAAGGCAAAAACTTAAAAGGAATTAACGCAATCAGAAGATATTTGCCAGATGCAAGCTTAATGACAGCAGTCTTCCAAAAATGCACCTTTAACAATTCGGCACTAGAAATATAATTTCCACAACAGCCGGTTCTACGTTACCGGAATTGAACCGGATTTTATCCGGCCAAGCGGTGTTATGTCGTTCTTAGAGCAACAACTATCAGCAGGGTTGCTCGGTATACTTCTGACCCGTGCTGGCATCGAGTCCAACCCGGACCTTGAGGAATTATTATGCTGTGTTTACGCGAAAAGACTTCATCCAAACACTACCTCGGTTAGCAGCAACACATGCAATTGATGGAGCCATCTTAAGGCCTTAAGACCCAGAGGGAGTGGACCACGAGTTACATGGCCCCATACTGCCAACGCACAACTGCGATACCTGTCCTAGTGGCTGTGCAATCTGCACCATGTTCGACTGTCGACTGTTCAAGAAAGGACCACCACGGCCCTAAGGAACAACCAACAAGTACAACAACAAAGCTTCGAGCCGTATTTGACGTTTCCTATCGAACCAGATCCCAAAAGTCATTACCAGGTATAAAGTGAGCGTTAAGATACAAATGTGATGGTAGGGAACATTTGTAGTGAACGAGCCTTACTTTTTTCTGTTTGGTTGGCATAACATCTGTTTAACATATTCAATAACCTAACAGTCATTGTACAAATAACATCATATTTTTTCATTGTGTTGAATGAAATGTCAAATTTTGTACAGGAAAATGATGATTTGCGGAAAGCATTAATTTTTTGCTTCCATTTGAAGAAAAGTGCTTCAGAATCGCATCGAATGCTTGTTGAGGCATATGGTGATCATGCTCTATCAGAAGCAACATGCAAAAGATTTTTGCAATGGTTCAGAGAAAGGAAGAACGTGAAAGATCACCAAAAAGTTTAAATCAAAATCAAATGACAGCCTTGTTAAACGTTACACAATAAACAATTTCAGACCGTTTGAAAGCTATGGGAAAGATCCAAAAGTGTGGAAAATTGGTGCCACATGAATTGAATGAAAGACAAATGGAAAACCGAAAAAACACTGGTGAAATTTTGCTTTAAAGACATGAAAAAAAAATAAGTTTTGCATTGAACTGTCACTGGCGATGACAAATGGATTTATTTTAAGAATCCTAAACGGAGAAAATCATGGATTAATCCGGGACAACCATCAACATCGACTGCAAAAACCGACCGATTTTTGGTGGGATCAGAGAGGAGTGGTATATCATGAGCTTCTAAAACCTGGTGAAACTTTAGTACTAATCGCTACAGACAAGAAATGATACTCCAACCGCACTTTCACAGACCAATCAAGAGATAAAACAACTGTTAGAATTAGGAAAAATTAAAACTCCAGTGGCATTCTAAACATCATCAATTCAAAGAAGGCGACTCTGTAAAGGATCTAAACATTTAACAGATTTATCCATCACCAGTACACTAAAATGGAACCAAAATATTGATTGTTTTATTTTTTCGTTTGAAGCAAAACTAGGACTTAATGGTCGTCTTACAAAACGTTCCATTCTCTCTGTTGTCACTTTACGACCCACTTGGAATTTTGTTTTCTGTCGTTATAACATCAAAAATCTTTTTGAATCAATTTTGCTACTACAGTTGAATTGATATGAATCAGTGCCACAGAACATTAATATGCATATGCTTGGAAAAACCTTCTTGACTGATCGACAGCTACGGATTCTCTTCACTCACTTTGATTCTGTGACTCATCGACTTATGGAAATGGCTGCAAAATATATACCCGCGTTATGAACAAAAGTGGCACTACTACTACCATTCGCCTGCTCACTGTGAAGTTCAGAGTGGCATCCTCAAAAAAAAAAAGTCAAACCAACAATTTCTCACAAATCTTTTAATATTTTTCATGGGACAGACTCACAAATAGTATTACATTGGCTTAAAATGCATTCTGCAACACTTTCGACTTTTGTTGGTAATCGAATTTCGGAAATTCAAGATTTAACCAAAGGCGCCCATTGGAGACTTGCAACAAAACATTGTAACCCGGCGGATGTACCTCTAGTGGATGTACCGTTATTAATTCAATATGGCACATCGGACCAAGGTTCTATACGAAAATTCAGACAAATGCTCAAATGAGAGATGCGGTGATATCGACGTTGAAGTTGTCGAAAGAGATTAACGAAAATCAGCATTCAATCCAATTGTTAGCACTAATTACATTTTGGAAATCATGAATCAGCGAAGTAACTACACTAACAGCCTTCGATTAATACGTTTGGTTTCTGCTTCATCAATAAATTTCGAGTTATTGCAAAACTTTACGACTCAATTACATTTTCACCACATTACATACATTTCGCTAATGAAATTTATCTTTCACAGAAGGAGCTCACGACAAATGGCCAGTTGAGTTATTAAAATATATTCCAGAAGAAAGAAAACTCCCAATGCTGTTGTCAATCATATTCGAACTCGTTGCGCATTACGTTCGTCACCTACATAAATCGGAAATTTTACCACGCAGGACCAAAAGCACTAGTACCACTGATAAGACTTCGGATTTAGATAGTTGTTGTTGTTGTAATGGTTATGTAATCCCCGCTTGGTGGTTTGGTTGTTTAAGTTTGGTTCTTGTCGAAGTCATCTAACGGGGATAGGGAAAAGGGTGTTAGATGTGTGGGGTTCGTTGGGCATGCAAAGGCGTGGTTAGTGTCATGCTGAAACTCATTGCATGCTGGACATATATTTAGTATCCTGGATAAGTGGAGTTTAACCTGCTACATTATCCAGAACGAAGTTGCGCCAGGGTCACTCTAGATTCTCGTGGCAGCTCGAGCTCTTCGACTGCGATGGGTTTTGGTTTGACTCCCAGTACGCCATTCACTGAGAGGAGGTTGGTGAAGGTGTTAATGACTGAAGTTCGTTGCGTCCGATGTCTGGTCGGTGTACTGTCCAAGGTCGTCGACGTAATCAAAGAAGGACCTCTTGATGTACCTGGGCGGCGGTTCCGTTTCAAGCAGACAATTGCAGGCGTGGTTTCTGCGAAAACATTTCATATTAAATTTGCCTGACAAACAAATATGAACGCAGACCAAATAAAAAACCAATCGGAGCTACGCCAATACCAGATAAAGTAAGCCAATACATAAATACATTTAAATCTATTCCATATGACCGGAAATTTTTACATCAGCACAAAGTATTCAAAATACTGCTACATAAGGGAAATTCCATATAAGAAAAATATATACAAATATATAAATCAAACATTTTCACAAATTTACCCAAATGTTATGTTTGTAATGATTGATAACGAGTCAGCATTAAACAGTATATTTGCAAAACAAATATAGTTCATGCAGCGACCATTCGACACCACCAACCAACGGTCAAGTTGAACGTGCCCACAGCACATTGATAGAAATCACAAAAGTCCAAGCACAGGAAAATAGTATTACAAATTCAAATAATTATACTATTAATATATTTAAAAAAAAGCCAGCTAAATGTAAAGTAATACATGAAAATAATGTACCAATACAATTACTTGAAAATGGTACCTGACAGCATACCTGGAATAATAAAGAAATAGATGGGCCTAAACTAAGAAAATTTAAATACTCCACACCTATCGATGGGAAACAATACATCAACCGCCAACAAGAACTCAAAGACGCCATACACAAACATGTGGAAAAACTAGAAATTCGGTGAATAATTGAATCCAATACTAAATATAAATTTAATAATATTCAAGAAATTTCAGCTTTTCTGATACCAATCGGTGAACATCCCTTGCAATACACAATCTTTGGCATCTGTATTATAACATTATTCACCTATGCCACAATTAAATTCTGCGAATGCTACAAGATAAAGACAGAAGAGAATCAATGAAATGTATAAGTTAGAACTTTCAAAAATCCAACATAACCACAATTTACACTAAAGCGAGGATGCTAAATTTTAAGAAGGATCCCTTATCTACTACAAGAAAAATACAATAATATTTGCCATTTATGTAAACATCATAACATACATGCTTCAACAATGCATTATCACCTAATGCATTAAACAAACAAACATAGGTTCTAAAAACAGCGGATAAGCAGCAGATAAAATACAATAAACAAATTAATGTACGAAAATTATCTTCTTAGCAATTAGGATAAATAGCAGTAGGAGTATGAAATGTATTCAGTAAGAATTTACAATTAATAAAGCAGAGCCGAACTGCTCTGAACCGAAATTGTTTTTTTAACTCAACGGGAAACCACGCGTTTAACTCGCTGCGCACGTGTGGTTAAAATGCACAAAAATATTTTATCTCACACACGTGCATGTGCAAAATGGGCATTGATGTCATACGGATCATAATAAAACCATATACATATGTATGTTCCATAATGGTTATTATTTTATTGATTTTAAAAGTTTCACCTAAAATAGTTCATAATAGTCAGAAATACAGTGGTCAAAACTAGAGACACCACATAGGTTAGTGTTAACAAACACGTTTCTGTGCTAATATTTTATAGAAAATCTGTAGTTGCTGCACATCTGTATTTGTTAAACTAAATCAGCTATGCGCAATGCCAACGTTACAATTTTGCAAACGCGTTAGGCAGGCGGCGTTGATACTTTTACTTTTTTATGAGATAGAAGATATAAATTATTTGTTACGCATTTTTTTGAATCATTTTCATTTAAAACATACTTTAAAAAATTTATTTCCCCGTTCATTGTCAAACTTACTGTTGCGTCGGTATGTATACTGCTTTGAGATTGGTGGTGATCAACGACAGCTGCACGATGTGTTATGTACATGTGAAAGCAGATAAACTCGCTTCGGTCACGAGTTCAAGACGTTGGCATAGCTGCTCCAAATTATGAATAATTTGTCAATAGGGCTTCTCTTCATTTTAACCATACAATTTTTGCAGCAGAGAGTATAATAGTTTTGTTCACCTAACGGTTATTTGTTCCACCTAAAACTATTCGATATAGATATGGAGTTATATATTAGGCCAAGTAAAAAGTTCGTTCGGTTTTTCGTTGTGAGCGCTCGTCAAAGATGGACACCAACAAAGAGAAAATTCGCTATATTTTACAATTTTTCTTCGATCAAAGCGAAAAAGCAGCCAAAGCGGCTGAAAACATTAATTTAGTTTATGGGCCCGATACTGTAAACGAACGTGTAGCACAAAAGTGATTTGCTAGGTTCCGTTCCGGTAATTTCGATGTCAAAGATGCACCACACGTCGGGAGGCCTGTCGTCGAAAATTGCGATAAAATCATGGAAATAGTGGAAACAGACCGTCACGTGAGCACTTATTTAATTGCTGAGGAACGAAAGATAAGCCAGAAAACCGTTTGGAACCATTTGCATAACCTTAGATTCAAAAAGGAGCTCAATGTTTGGGTGTCACACGAACTAACGCAAAAAACATGATGGACCGAATTTCCATCTGCAAATCGCTGCAGAGTCGCAACAAAATCGACCCGTTTCTGAAGCGGATTGTGACTGGCGATGAAAAATGGGTCACTTATGACAACATCGAGCGCAAACGGTCGTGGTCAAAGCTCGGGGAAGCGGCCCAGATGGTGGCCAAGACCTGATTAACGGCCATGAAGGTTTTGCTGTGTGTTTGGTGGGATGGGCAGGGAATCATCTACTGCGACCTGCTCCCCTATGGCCAAACGCTCAATTCAGCCCTCTACTGCCAACAACTGGACCGCTTGAAGGCAGCACTCATGCAGAAGAGGCCATCTTTGAGCAACAGAGGCCGAATTGTGTTCCATCAGGACAACGCCAGGCCACACACGTCTTTGGTGGCTCGCCAGAAGCTCCTGGAGCTCGTATTGGAGGTTCTAATGCACCCACCTTATAGGCCGGACCTGGCACCAAGTGATTACCATCTTTTCCTGTCCATGGCGAACGCGCTTAATGGTGAGAAGTTGGCCTCAAGAGAGGCCTGTGAAAATTGGCTCTCCAAGTTTTTTGGCAATAGGGATGCAGTCTTCTACGAAAGGGGTATAATGAAGCTGGCATCTCGTTGGCAACAAGTTTACGAACAAAACGGCGCATATTTGACTTGAATCGGACAAATGTACACAAAGTTATCATCTTTTGAAAAATCCATAAAAAACCGAACGAACTTTTTACTTTACCTAATATATGTACATATAAATGATCACGATAACGTGACGAATTGAATTTCGAATAACTGTCTGTCTATCCGTCCGTCCGTGCAAGAATAACTTGAACTAAATTAAGATATATTGATGAAACTTCGTACACCTGTGCCCTGGCACCCAAAGGGGTTGGTATTGCTGATGGGCGCAATCGGTCCGTTGCCATGCCCACAAGGTGCAGTTAAGCGAAAACAACTAAGCACTAAATTAAGCTACAAAATTGTAATTTAGTACAGGGCATCACAGTAGCGAGAGACACAAGTTTTTAAAAGTGGGAGGCCCGCCCATATATCATTTAAACTGCGGAATCTAACTTAACCAAAGATAGAGAAAGCTTAGATAAAGTCTTTTCAGCATTTCTTCATACACTGTGAAAATGAGTAAAATCAGTTAATAACCATGCCCACTCCCAGAATCCATTTTATTCACAAAGAGAAAACATTCTTTTAATCTTATTAGTAGTCCCATTTCGCCCATTTTCACACTGTAAAATAGGAATGTCAGGATAATGTTATGTACCGAATTTGGTTGCAATTGGTAGAGCAGGACGCGAAATATGGGTTTTCACCTAAATATTGGCAGTGCCACGCCCATTGTCCAATTTTGATATCGACTCTTATAAGGCTTTTTTATATCATCTTGAGTTCAAAACTTAGTATGTCTGACGCTTTCATTTATTGAGTTATCGCACTTTTAGTAGTTTTCAACATAACCGTTACATTGGGAGGGGGTGGGGTTATATTCTGATTTCTATCATTTTTACAATTTCAAAGGAAATACTATACATATTTGGTTTGAGCAAGTTTGATTGATTTACTTTGGTAAAATCCCAGTTAAGTCAAAAATTAAAAATACCAATACTTGTATGAAAAAAATATTTGACCTTATACGGTCCACTACCTGTCTTTTCTCTACTTTGTGCATTTGGACATCGTTTTTGCGTACATATCTTTTGATCTAACCAGACCTGCTAAGTATTAGCTAAATAAATAAACAAGTTGTAGTGATATATTTGAAGAAATAATGGATTACATTGGGTAGCAACTTGTCAATCGTTGCTATTTATGCTGTTCAATAAGATTTATCGGGGAGCTGAGGTGAAGTTTCTGCGCAATACGAAGCATCTTTTTCAATATTTTTCCTTGCAAATTCAACCTTTTGCTTTTGAATTTTTTATTTAATATAAGCTTTCTCCTGGAAGTTCGACCGTTATTTTGTAGGCTCTGAACAAACTATAGATGATTTCGGCACCTTTTTACCGCTTTGAGATTGTTTTAACAAGGTTAATCTTGACATGACAACGTACACTCTCTCTTTATGCCAAATTAGTTTAGATATCTTTTTTTATTTTGTAAAAACACCCTTTTGGGGAATTTATTTTATAGCAATCTAGTAAATTAATACTAATAAACTATTTGTTTCTGACTTAAATTTATACGGTTTTAAAATTACAAAATGCTTATCCTATGATATTCATTTCAGATTTTAAACTTATACATATGTATGTATTATAGTCACTATTTTAGTGAGACCTGAACAATGATTATTTTATTTTATAGTTCTTTTTTTTTTCTTTTTTACACAAGTTCGAAAGGTTTTACTCGCTTTAATCTTCTGGTAAGGCCATCATTATTAGCTGAAGAGCCTCAATGTTGATATGTTGTTGAAGCCGTTGTGCATGACTTTGAGCATACTTTTTGATGACGGTGTCAACAGTTTCTACATTCAGATCCATATGCAAGTTGTCATTACGAATGTACCAGGGTGCATTAACAATACCACGAAGTACTTTGTTTTGAAATCTTTGGATATTTAATTTGCAGCTTTGACTGGTACAGCCCCAGAGTTGAATACCATAAGTCCAGATCGATTTAAGGACTTGTTGATACAAGAGTAGCTTGTTGTATATTGACAAGGCAGAATATCTGCCTAATAGCCAGTACATTTTTCTGTACTTAAGTTTTAATTCTTCTTGTTTTATTTTGACATGTGATTTCCACCTGAGTTTAGTATCAAGGGTCATACCAAGATATTTTGCTGTATTCTCATACGGAACTATTTTTTGGTTCATATATATTGGTTTGTGCTGTATATGTTCATTGGTGAAATCTATATGCACTGATTTGGTTTCATTTAGCTTAATGCGCCAAGTAGTTGTCCAGCTTGTACTTCTGCAATGGCTTTTTGTAATTTTTCTGTTGACTCAATATTATTGTCGCCAACGGCTAAAATTGCAGTATCATCAGCAAATGTAGCAACAATATTTTCGTTAAATGTTGGTAGGTCACTAGTATATAAGAGATAAAGAACTGATCCCAATACACTACCTTGCGGAACTTCCGCTTGGATTTTTTTTAGGGCAGAAAAAGCGTCCTCTTGTTTGATTCTGAAATAGCGTTCTGATATATATGATTTTAGAATTTTCGAGAATTGTGTTGGAAGAAACATTTTAAGTTTATAGTTCAATCCTGCATGCCAAACTTTATCGAAAGCTTGTGCTACATCAAGGAATATTGCTGAGCACACTTTTTTTTCTTCTAATGTTTTTTCAATTGTATCAGTTATTCGATGAACCTGATCAATCGTAGAGTGTTGATTCCGAAAACCAAATTGATGATTTGCAATAAGATTTTTCTCATCAATTATTGGTTCTAATCTTTTTAATAAAAGTTTTTCAAACAGTTTGGACATAACCGGAAGCAGAAAAATTGGTCGGTATGATGTGGTTTCATGGGGTGGCTTTCCAGGTTTGGTTATCATAATAACTTCAGCCACTTTCCATAATGACGGTACATATTGTAGTCTGAATGATGCATTAATCAGATTGGTTATTTTAAGTAATGCTTTCCTTGGTAGTTCTCTAAGTATCTGGGCGGTGATCAGGTCGAAACCAGGAGCTTTTTTAGGGTTCATGGTATTTTTAATTTCTTTTTTGATTTCAGCTAGAGTGACCCGTGGTATTTCCATCTATTCTTGTGCAATAATGTTTGGTAACAGTGTAGTGTCATCCATCGTGTTGGGTTGAAAAATCGTTTCAAGGTGTTCAGCAAATCTGGATGCTTTCTGATAGTTATTTCTAGCCCAGCTACCATCAATGTCTTTAATTGGAGGGGTTTGCATAATTGGCCTTTTCAGTCTTTTGGTAGACTTCCAAAGTGAATATTCAGTACTTTAGTCATTTGTAACTTCACATAGAAACGCACTCATGGTATCGTTCTTAAATTGTTTAATTTTATTTCTCAATTGAGACGTTAAGTTATTCAGTCTATTTTTATCTAGTGGGGCTCTGGATTGTTGCCATTTTTTCCTCGCTTTTCTTTTTTCAAAAATTCCAATATTTCTTTGGGATAATTGTTACCTTTTGGTCTTAAACAAACTTCAGATGTATTTTGCCACGCTGAATACTGGATATCATTGGTCAGTTTTTCTACATCCAGATCTAACTGTTCTTCAGATTGTAATGGAACTGCTAATTCAATTCTTTGGTCAAGTAAAATTCTAAAGCTTCCCAATCAGTCCATTTGTTAGTCAGATGTGGGTTAGCTGGCTTCATTATAATGTTTTCACTTAAAGTTAGAACAATCGGCGAATGATCTGAATTTAAAATTATGATCAATAAGATCAGGAACCTTGTTTGGGTCGGTAGGCCAGTATGTGGGTTTGCCCGTTGATAAGGTTTCACACCCATATTTTTGAACCGCTTTTAATAACTCCCTTCCTTTAGTTGTGATGAGCCTCGATCCCCAGTGCGTGTGTTTAGCATTAAAATCACCACCAATGATGAATCGTTTTCCTATGTTTTTGAAGAACTCTTCATATCTATCACACTTAATATTGTGTTTCGGGGGGCTGTACAAGCTAACTACCGTAATGTTACCATTTTTTGTTTTAATGTTTATTGCCTTTGCTTGTATATCTTCCGCTTCCAGTTTCATTTCCTCATTATGGTTGAGATTTTCATTGATTATTACCGCACTTCCTCCCCTTGCTGCATTTTCTGGATGTATAGTGTGGTAGACTTTATATCCTTTAAATCTAATGAAAGATTGTTTAGTAAAGTGCGTTTCTGATATCAGGCACACGCCTAGTTTATTTATGTCCAGGATTGCCTGTACTTCTTGGTGATGGTTGAGCAACCCATTTGCATTCCATGACATAATTTTAATTGTTTTAGACATCAAGACCTTCTTTTTTGATTAGGTGCAGTCTTTTTAGTACTGCCCTCAAGTTTATTAACCCTTTTATTGATTTTAGAAAAGGAGTCTTCTAGGTTGGTCATTTTATCAAGAATCGAGTTGAAGGGTTTGGCTAATATCCCCCTGTCTTTTGGTATCAATACCTTGCATTTCAGTACCTGATGCAGCTACAGAGGCATAGGTTGGTTTTTTTTGAACGTTGTCTATTTTATTTTGAACGCTGGCAGTTTTATTTATTTCTGGTGCATCTTTTACAATATTTTTTGGGATATGTTTGTTCAAATTGGGATTATCAATCCTTTTATTTTTGATTTTTTGCAGCTCTTTGGCTACAAAGCATCCCCTGTAATTCGCTGGATGTGGCTCTCCACAATTGACACATTTTACTCTTTGGTTGTGAGGTTTTTCACAATTTACTGTAAGATGATTGCCTGCACATTTAACACATCTTGGCCCTTTGCAGCAATAATTTTGCGTGTGACCAAAGGCCTGCAATTTTTTACATTGGGGGATCAATTTATTTCCTTTCATTGGCTGGATTTCCACTTTACACCCAAGTATATGACTTATTTTTTCTATGTTTTCTTCGTTGCTAAATGTCAACATAAACAAATTCAATGGCTTTTTTTCTTTCCATGACAATTTATTGATAGCAAAGATAATTTTAAACCCTTTTTCAGATAAAAATGATCCAACAACGCTAGGATTACATGAGTATGAATAAAAATCCAAATTATTTTCTTTAAGTAGCTTAATTGCTTCTTTATAATCATTTGACTCTCTACAATTCATTTTGACTGTTGAGTCGTTGATTAATTTCATTTGAAAGGAACTTTCAGTTATATGTTCTTTCATCAAGCAGTATAAGGTTTCATACGATTTGATTCTATTTACAACAATGGGCGGTGGTAATGGTTCTTTTTTAGTTTTTTTGGGAGTTTGCATATTTTTCTTTAAAGTGGTTGGTGAGGGTGTTGTATTTATTTTTCGTTTTTTATTTTTATGTTTTTGTCTAATCCATTCTGTTTCTTTAGCCAGCTCATCTTCATCCGTCCCATATTCAGTATCACATTCTTTTACTGGAGCTGGTGTACTAGCTCTAGATAATGCAGGAGTTGCGGTTCTCGAGGCACTTAGAAAAGGCCTTCCTTTAGGTAGATTTGCCTTGAGCATATCAATTTGTTTTTGCATGTCCATTAGTTGAGAATTAAGACGAGCAATTTCGCTATCTGCATGTTGCCATCGACTAGAGGCATATTGCCATTGATTAAACAACTGCTGTTCATTTTGGGTGCGTTCTCTCACTCTTGTGATATTACATATTTATTTGTATTCATAAATTTTTATAGCAGGCTTTTAGGCTTTACCTTAATAAAAGATCTACTGGTTGTGTTATATAAATGTTATATAAAAGCTTTTATAGGGGTATTTTACAATTTAAAAAGATCAAGTCCACTGCTCGTTTGACAGCTCTGAATAGGATTCCCTGAGCTTGTTTGTTTTCTTTTTGTTAACTTATTATATGTTTATGTTTATTTTTTATTATTATTTGAATAATGTTTTGTTTTAGTTTACACTTTGTGACAACTGTTATTTGTTTTTTTGTATCACTTGTTTGTGTTTTTATTTATTTGATCGGTTTTGTTTAAACATTCACGGAGAGAATTAAATACACGTCCGCACTCTTTGACACTTGAAATCACTTTTTTGATATCTGGTCAAATAAAAAGGATCGAAGATTGTAGTATTGTTTTGCGCAACAGTGCCAAAATTCGGGAAGATATCTTGTCAAATAAAAAAGTTTTTCGTACATATACTATAATGGAGCAATATCGACGTTTCTGACAAATGAACTCTCAGGGAAAAAAGGTGTGCAAGGTTCAGACCGATATCTTTAGAACTAGGGACTACTTCGCGTATATAAAGAGGAGCATTGCTAAATCAATTCAGCACGTCACGCTGATCATTTATGTATATACATATATATTCTACCTAATAGGGTCTTCGACGTACAAACTCGAGGCAAACTTAATATACCCTGTTCAGGTATTTTGTTATTTTTGTAAATTAATTTTAAGTGACGACACTTTTTTAGACATGAATCAGAACGCATTTTTTGTAATTTATTTTTTATAAACAATCAGAAATCAAATTTTTTTTATGTTAAAATGAATTACAATAACTGTAGAAAATCCTATCTTTATTCTGATTTGTTCTGGGCTGGAGTACCTTCAAATATAAGTTAGTATAATGACGAATACTTTTCAAACTTTTTTCAAGTGTTTATTATTTCATTTGCCAGGAGCACCCAAATTTCAGTGAATTTGCTGAAAATTTGCAAAAGTTGAATTCTTCATTAAATGAGTACCATAATACCATCGTAAACCTGCATACCATCGTATACAACAAAAAAGGTGCTGAAAAATAATTTGGCCACTAAAACTCATAGACGTTGAGTATGATATAAGTTAGAAAACAATTAGTTTACCGAAGAGAAAAATTATATATGTATATAGTAAGTATTGGTTCATTGTTAGCATATTTTAAAGATATACATATGTACATACACATAAATATAATACATAAATGTTAAAAGCTTACTTGTAATTGAATCGCTTCCTCCATTTGAGTTTTAATTGTAGGCTTTTCAACTTCAGTTGTAAGTTGATAAGTAAAATTATTGAGAAGATCTGATATTTGCCGGATGACAATACCAAATGCACGAGCCAAGTTGCTTGCGGTTGTCGCCATAGTATGATGCTCTTGGGGTGGAACAGCTACAGTAGAGCTTGTTGGTACAGTGGAACGTCGTAATGCCATAGGGTCAATAAAAACTAAGTTTGATCCTGCTGGTACACGAACAGAAGAGCGAGAAATATCTCTATTTCGTATCGCCCATTGCATAGATTGTGGAGCTAAATCATTACGGGTATTATTACTAGTATTACGTCGCTCCAATTGATGATCCCCAAAACTATATTCATCGGATTGTTCGTCTGTTTCGCCATCCTCAGAAGCTTCCTCCTCCTGAGGCGAAGAATCGCCAGATTCATCTTCGAGAAAAAGAACCCCAATATCTGGAAATGTAAAAGATTTTAAATCTTAAAAAACGTATAAACGTATTAAATTAATGTAACAACATTCCAATAGAATGGTAGGGCCAAAATTGCGTAACAAAAAGTCGTAAACGAAAGAACAAAACAAGGCAATATAGAAAAACTGTTAAATGTGCAAATGTCAAAATTTACTGAAACGAGAATTTTGTATTATATGTAAACCCCATGTTTATTTTATCACGAAAAAATTGTGGCTTAAAATAATAAATGTTTATATAAAATTTAAGTTTAAAGTTCTTAATTGTATAAAAAGATAAGTTATTTTTTATTCTTCGTTTGATTGTATTACACAATTTTCTAACAAGTAACAGACCGCAATCATCAAAATCTCTTGGTAAGGGAATATTTATTTCGGTGTTTCTATTATGTTTTGAGCATTGGCAAAAGAAATTCTGCACTTAAAAAGTATTTACTTCTTTTTAAGCCCGTTATCTGAACTGTTATTTTTAACATTTTGATATTTAAATTGACAATTCAAATCATTTGAATTTGCATAATTTCGTTTGTGATTGGTGTAATATGTA